GACAAAATTAAAAAAATATCTTACGGTTATTTTTTGTTTTCTTATATTGGGATGTGACCGTATAGATATGAAGACTTAAGTATGAAAAATAGCATATTATTTCTTTTTGCTATAATTAGAATGGTTTTGTTTGGATGTATACCAAAAATGATAAAGTAAAGTAGGTGTATGTAAAAGGGCTCTGAATAAGTTCACTGTAAATGATTTAACAATTTATTTCAGTTTTAATTTTATTGTTTAGTTAAGTAAGATTTATTATTTAAACGCTTATAGTTTTGGCAATCTAAAGTTAATATAATAAAATTTACTTCTCATAGTTTACCTCTTTTCTTTACACCGTTTAAATAATAATCCTGTTTGAACAATCTCATTAATCAATAAATAAATTCTAACTTCCAAGTTGTTTCTAGATGATTACCATATGTGACTTACTTGATAAGCATAGTGTTAGAAAGGTAATCTTTTTCTAAAGTTAAACAATTATTATGAACCTAGTGAATTCAATTAATCCTCAGCTGATTTTCTTCGACTGTATTGATAAGCATGTAAATACAAATACTATAATACATCGAGCAGGCTTATGCCCTAAAACATTTAGGTTATTATCGCCAGACGATTCGGACACTGAATGTCATTTTTCAGGTCATTTTGATAAACTATTAGAGAGGGAAGTCGTCTGATGGACCTTCAACAACTTATAACCCTGATTTTATTAATTCTGTTTATTAGTGAGATAACTAGTAATAAAATTATATTTTAAGGGGTTCGCGAATTGAAAAATAAAATGAAGTACATTGTGATTTAACGTTAGTGAAAAAATATTTGGTCATCTCTCATTCCAGCGAAAAACAAATTTTCCATTTGAATCGATGGTACCGTATGGTTTTCTACGTTTATCCTATTCTTGATTTCCTGATATATATTAATAAAGCTGTATGTATGAAAGCGATTACTTGGACGTACTGCATATGTCAAATATATCTTTCGGGCTATCTTATAGAAAGTCAATCAACAGCGAGCCATATGAACTTGAAATTCTCTTAGCACCATATTATGTGAGATGGTGGAGAAGATTTGTAGTTCAGGTGGATGATTTTGGTGGAGTTTTGTTCTCTGAGCTGGATGGTTTGGTCGTGGAGTTTTCATCGTTATTCTGAACGACATCATCAGCACAAACTTCAAAGGCAGGCTTCTACTCGAGAACAACTATATTTTCTCCAAGAGTGTCTTCGCCAGCATGTTCTACCAACAAGTGTAAGATATAGACATCCAATCAACTGCCCATTAGGATGGAGAATAGCTGAGCAAAGTGGAAGAAAAATGGTACACCTCATGATAACGGATGCACACTACAGGATCCGCAAATACCAACACGTCATAGAGGACCAAAAGATAAAGATACAAGACTTCTATTTGAAGTTTGTGCTGATGATGTCGTTCAGAAGAACGATGAAAACTCCACGACCAAACCATCCAGCTCAGAGAACAAAACTCCACCATATTATGTGTAACATTGTTCTCGGTGAATTAGTTTATATGGTTTTTGAATTTTTACTAGTGAAACTTAAATTTAATGAATTAATTAACTTATCAGTGTGGGGTTGTGGAGATTGTTAATTTTTTGATTGAGATCATGAATCGATAAATGTTAGACTATCATTGAAAATCTGGAAGCACTGAACGGTCGTTCAACAGTCTAAACGGATGAATTTGGAAAGAAACAACTTTTAAAAGATAATTATAAATTATTTTAATAATTTGTACTAATGCTAGTTTAATGAATGAATTTTCAATGAGGAATTTTTTCCGTTAAGAGAGGCTTCGCTTAAACTTCATAATATGAATTCTTTTTGCATTCTTCTCGTAACTAATTTAACATCTGAATTATGTCTTAGGTTTATTTTAATAAAAATTACTTGATAATCTAACAGTCATAGGAATAACATGAAAAGCTACAGTTTGCTCCAACCATAGAACATCAGCTTTATATAACCGGTAAATGTGGTTGATTAATATCGATATTTTGTACATAGTAAGCTTATAATTTCCAACAAGTTGCTTCATTGCCCATCCAAAAACCAGAAACCGCAATTTTATATATTGAGCCACCTGAGGAAAACAGACTTTACTGAAGTTTATCTATACTAACAGCATCCAACTACTGAACGGTAACCCTTGAAATATCATACTAGCAACTTTATTATGAAGCCAATAGTTTCTGCATAAGATTACAGAAGTCACTAAGGTTGGGATCACATGAAAGCATTTTACCGAAACTTGACAAGTCACATTGCTTACAGTTAAATGAGCATTATTTATTACTTAATTTTATAGTAGTTATTACATTATAGGCTTTGAACATAGGTGTGTAAGATATTAAAGACTGATATTCTTCGCAACTAATTGATACAAAAGATAGTCAGAAATTTATTCTAAGTATTTTAACTACTGAACAGTAGTATAAGTTTATCAGTAAATATCTAGGTTTTCGATGAATCACCTGAGAATAATTACAAGTTGCTCTTAATCTCTTAGATTCATACCTATTGTTCTTCACTGGGTAGTTGATTAAACTGCCCTAAGTTCATAATCTTCGTTGAGTGAGAACGGTGTATTTCATAGATATGTCAAATGTAAAAAAATGATGATACTTATCTATTTACAATCATTTGTTTTATTATTTTTATTTTTACCATTATTATTGATGCTTTTTGTCAAAAAGATACATTAATTTTTACTCTGGCTACTATTCTATACACGCCAAATGACCAAGATGGGTTTTAACAAGTAAACACTGATTGGTATTCTAAACAGTTTTTACTTGTAATAATCAGCGATAGTGTTGTTTTTAAGTCGTGAATAAATCACAGGCTGAATAATTTTTCAATGAATAATCCGGTTCCGATGTTTTGCTTATCAGACTATCTTGCCTATGTTATGAAAACGCGGAGACGCAAGCGTGCCAATATATACATGTGTGTACACTGACAATCGAGCTCTGATAACAGTTCGTTCGTTAGCAAAAGTTTCATATCATTTCAAGCAATCTACAAAACACTTAAATTTCCCTATATAAATACCCTGATACATTTTAAAAAAATCTCATTCAAAATAATATCTCATGAAATGATAATTAAGTACTATAAATATTGATGTCAGTTCAAATGAAGCTTGATAGACAACTGGGAAAACGTGTGACATGAGGTTTATTTCACGTTATTATCTGTACACGTAATAATTCACCAATAATTTTTATCATTTCATGCTCCATCAACAGTTGACTGGCAAATTTAAGATAAACGAAGTAAACTGCAGTATTCAGTAAGAACACTGACTTCGCAATCCAATGGTTTCATCAACATAGATGTCCGTTTGGTTCTTCTGTTTCAGTTATACATTATATTACTTTGTATTGTTTTGAGGAGTGACTTACTGATGTGCATGTTTATTCACCTAAAAATTGTCTTCATATAATAAATTTTGATTCTTTTTTTATACAAACACTTTGTTACTGAGATATTACAGGTCATTTTTGTGCACAATTGAAATGGAAGAAAAGCAATTATACTTTTATTTGTTATTGTATTTCTTGTCATTTGAATAATTTGATGTGCTTTTAAAAAGCGATTACATTACTCTTGAATCACTTTGTCTAACAAATTACAATATACAATCTATAATAGAGAGTCATTAGAGTAATACATTTATGTGACAAGGCATGAATGGAACAGGATTAAACATTGTACATTGATTTCCTACACTCACGACCGATTTGCATCATAAGCACCTTAGACGTCATTTTGTAATAATGTTATCAAATTGACGTATTCATTTTCTAAAATAGGATAAGAATCTTTTAGTATGACTAAAGAAACATGTAAATATAAAAATAACTTAGTTAGTTTTATATTAACGTAGATTTGTGTACAACCATTAAAAAGGTCAGTGGTTAAGAATTCATTTCAACTAAATCACACTTAATTTTATGGTAGAGATATTGAAATTTTACATTTGGTCAACACTCAAAATTACCTGATCCCAGATTTCCCACGGATCAAAGTTGCAGTTATCACACTTCTTGTGAGTTTTTGACTTACTGTAAAGAAAAACAATAATGAGCAAAATTACGAAAACTTATTTTCTCTCGTGAGTTTTCCGTCGTCTACTTGATTCTTACCATATGGTCTTTCGCTACCATTTTGATCAGTATTCCAAAATAATCTATAGCATAAGATATGTTTCCAACACTTTATTCAGTTAACTTTGTTTGAATGTTCACAACAATATTTTGAAGTTAAAAGCATTTCTTAAAGTGTTTTATACACATTTTGTAATTTTGATAAATCAATGGTTGTAAGAGGTCGAAGAGAATCTCAGGAAGGAAAATGAACGGACGATATACTGCTCAAACTGTTCCTCTAAGTCTTTTCAAGCTAACAAATGGAACTATGTCTGCGAAATTATCTAATACAAAAACATTTTTAAATGTTTCGCTAAATGTATAGATCCAAGAAAAATCCTAGATACCAGCTGGCAGATCAGTACATGAGGCTTAAGCGACGAAAACATCGTTTCACTAAAAAAACGGCAGTGTTTTTCCCAAAAATGGTAAGACATTATAATTTAATGCTTAAGAACATACTACTCAAGTTATTTTCAATTTATCACCAGTTAGTTAATTTAACAAAAGTTTATAATTGGTGACATTAACATTCATTTTTTAAAAGCAAGTTACTTGCGTGTAAGTGTGCTTTTTCTAGTGAAAAGATGTAACAGCATGTAAGAAACAGAAGCCACCTGTGCACAATGAATGAAATACAATACATGTACCATAGGTTAGTTTAAATGCTCATGTCACAAGACCAAAATCAATGATCCTACACAAATAATCAAGCAACTGCCTATCAGTACATAAGCAAAATAATAGCCGAAGGATGAAATCTGACAGCCTGCCAATAGTATAAGGATTTTGTCGTTTCATAGTATTCAAAAAATAAAACATGATCAGGCATAAAAAGAGGAAACGTTATAGTTGTTCTTTGGGTGCTTGTTTTTCTAAATCCAGATTATGTACTAATTGTAGACTTTTTCCTTCTAAACTTTATTTCAAATCGTCATTCCGACCCATTGACATATCATCATCGCTCTCAATCGGAACGCTTCATTCATCATCTTCAACATCCCTTCAAATCCAATCATGGTATCATGACCAAACATCGGTAACCACTCCACGGAAATTAAAAATGAAAACCTGGAATGAATGTATGTCAATATCATTATCTCAATGCTCTACATCAAATGAAAACGAAATCGAAACAATGACTGCTAATATATTTCACGAAAATGACAACATAAATGATGATCAACAAATCATTGAACCTGGTATTTATGATGAATCATATTACGATCTAAAAATAAAACACCTAAATTGTAACCTAAAGTCAAAACAGGGTGATATTAATCAAAGTTTTCTGCGAGCAGCTAGGGCAGGAAATTCGGAGAAATTACGTGAATTACTCAACAAAATAACAGACATCAACGTCTCGAATACTGTGAGTTGTTTTCAGTGAATTTTTATTTGATGATTCGTTAAATAACAGATAAAACTGTTATCTAATTTGTTTTATGAACCCATTATTTTCCAGCTAATACTTGGAATACAGTATTTACCGTGGAAGATTTTCTTACTAACTTTCCATCACGGCCGTAGTTGTAAGTTTCAGGAGGGTTATGCAGAAAATGTAAACGCCAAGTTGTAAATAAAGGCTAGTCTTTCTTAAAATAGGTCAAGCTTTCTGGCATTTTTCATCCGCTTTCAATCAATTAGATAGGTGCACTTCTCCCTGAAGAGTTATATGTTTATATGGATAATCCAGTCCATCAACTTAATCTCATAACCAATTAGGTATCCAGAGAACTAAGGGGACACTATTAATTGATGCAATTTGACTTCAGTATATGTTGATTTCTAAAACAACAATGAAAATCAGAAGTAGGAGGCGAAAACTGAAATTAAACGTTTTAGAACACAAGTAAGTTCTGATCTAAATTAGTTTATTCCAGTGATGCTTTTTGGATCAAAGGTTGTGCAATGAAAACATATTAGTTTTAGCGTTGACCTGGTTTCAAAGACAGACCCAATATATACCCCAAATAAATTACAAGTTGTAAACTGATAAGTTTACCGTTTACTAAGTCAAGGAATGCATTATCGATGCACTCACTTGGCTATTAATCGCATCTTTTTCACATTTCAAGTGATTTTTTAAAATCATATTTGACTAGTAAAGCTATAAAATCAGTGTTACTCTTCTTAATTGATTACTATAAAACAGTATTACTAACACTACACATTTTCACAAAATATGTTATATGAGTTACTTTTACATCCGAACATTAAATTATATAATAAAAACACTTTGTTACAAGACACTAAATTGGAACAGAATTTTTTAACTAGCACAAGTGCGAACACGCTTATAATGGGTGTATTTATTCAACATCTTTTTTATAATCCAGGATTTTTTAAAACCAGTAACTTAACTCGTGCTCAGTGAATTCATGTAATGAGATTTTCTATGAATTCGATGAATACGTTTTATACAGAGACTATGAACCCTAGATTTACGTTCCTTTTAACTCTGACATGGTATTAGTATGAAGCAAACATACAGTGGGTCAGTTAACTTGAAATTTCTATATTTTTTAGCTACCCTGTTAGATTCTCACTAGATGAGATAAATCTAATTAGTAGAATAGTGCGATGCATAATAGTTCGTGATTCATAAAATAAGTCTGTCGATAGCTTAAAGAGCGTCTGAAAATAATGACAGTCTTCATAAAAAGTATTTAAATCGGTAGATTACAGCTTGAGGCACGACTACAAAGATGATCAACAGAAACGTTACCCAAAAAACGTTCAAAATTTGGTCAACGATTTTTGTATTTTTATATTCTACGAACGAGACCGATGGTTTTAGGTTCAGTCCGTGAATACAGGATTGAAGGTGTGCACTACAGAGGAGTTTCATACTAGAAGGAAACGGCTGTCCAATAATTTCAGGTTTTTGATAATGGTCTAGCTAAGATTTCCTGACCTGCAAAAAACATTGCATTCCTATGAAAATTGAAAGCTAAAACATTATGTAAAGTGAGATCCTCAAAGTAACTGACTTGCTTTCAAAAACGTTACTAACTGAGTGGGTTCAACATATATGATCTGAAAGAACCACTACCTATAGGTAGGTGACAAGTATAACATACTTGTTTATGGTTTGATATTATGTAAACATCTCTTAATCATAACTTTTGAGTAAAAATTAGACGGATTATAAAAACAATAAAATATTCAAAATGTTCTCAAAACTTAAAAACTGATATGAAAAAACAACCACACGTAAGGCGTTTACTACTTTCGAAAACTGTTTCGTTTGTTAAAATAATCATATCTACTAACCAACATTTTAAAACAAAGTCATCGAACAATATGAATCATACACCAAAAAGTACAGGAATTTTCAATATACATAATAAAATATTTTGCGAATTTATAGATAATTAGTGATCTTAAGTTCTAAATGTAACTTGACCACCCAAAGTTTCTTTAAGTTCCTTTTATATCTTCAGTATACAGATAAAGAATTATTAACAGTAGAATTTATGGAATTCTCACGATGCTATGACAGTGTATTTAGTAGATAAATATAATAATCATAAAACGAGTAATAACCAGCCAACCTGAGTTCGAAATAGTAAAACTGTGGCGGGTATATTACTATCGGACTCATGAATAGTTTGAAATCATCTATAATGTACTTTTTGTTTCTAATGCTGTAGGTATTCTTCGTTTGCCATCTGCCCTTCTTAAAATACGTACTGAAAAGCAATTATTTCCGGCCTTAAAGAAAATTTACAAGAAAACAATGGATACAGAAAACCCTTTTCTTCTTTTTAATCCAATTGTACGGTTAACTTATAATACATTATGACACAAATTGATTCTTCTAGTGAATGATAAGGATCATCTCATAATATAACCATGGCAACACATTCAGTCTAAGCCATGTTTAGAATCAGAATCACTTTTTGACCGATTTATGACAATTTAGTGGTTCTTCAGATGATATGTAATAGTGATTAAAACAATATTCAAACATAAGAAACCTGTTTTTTTGGCAATATGTAGACCGCTCTTCAAACTAGCTGCTAGTGACTGAAACTGAATAAATATTCATATTTTGAAGTCGGTTCTTCTAAGAAATGAAAAATCGTGACAGCCATTTCAATGGCAAGTGCTTTGCAGTCTGGTTAGGAAGGTAATATATTGTGCTAGCTTTAAGTTGCCAGAATTTTTCAAAAATGACCTAAGGCTATATTCAAGTTCACCTTTTGATTTTAGAGGATTATTATTCTGATGTGGACCTTTAAAAGTACTTTTAAAGGGTTTTCGGCTTATTCTAAATATACAAATAAAATCAGGCGAGTGGCGCGACCAAATGAAGCGACCGTAGAATGAACCTAGAAACTGACGAACTTTATTAGATCAAAAAACACAACCTGTCTCAATAGAAAAAAATTTCTAAGAATTAAAAGTCGATAAAACCTTTGGTTTTATTAACCCCAAAGTGTATAAATAAAACTTTGTAAATTCACTACAGATAAACATACCTGTGTTTTGAACGACTTCATTAAATCACAAAGAAAACAAATCGGTTCAGAAGGCAGTTCGAATTCAAGTTTCAAGAAGGGAATTTCTTATGCTGATTGAGCTAGATATGCAAAGGTATTCATTAAATTTGTTGCGCAAAGTTGTATGAAACAAGACAAAATGGAATAATTTAGAAAAATTACCACTATATATTATATTTCAAAGTGATGAATGCACAGCTTATATGGTAGTATACAGTTCTTAGAAATATGAGACATACCAATATAAAGAAAAAAATGGCGAATCACTTACTTTAACACACAATATTAAGTACTTCAGAAATTGTTATAGTGAGCGTAAAGTAAACGTACTCTGATTCTCTCTGAAGTACTTATCAGTGGAAGAATCTTAACAGACAAGTATCTCTATGATAAAGCTGTCTATGTGTCGATAACTATAAAATTGACAACTAAGGTAATTATAATCTTCAAAGTCAGTGTATTCTGTTTATCTGTTTAGCTTACTAGGCTCCATCCTTCGAGTCTAAACACTGATAGCTACAAGCTCAGAATCTAAGTTTTAGATTGACTAACTTTTGAAACATTTTCTAGTCCTGAAGGCACATTTTAATCATGGATTGTAGGCAAATGAAGAATGAATGATCATAAATCAGTAGTCAGGACTCCTCACAATCAAGTACCCATAGTCCCATGCGATATCGATATTGTGGAAAGCGCAAAATCATTGAGCTACTTATCAGAAATCCGGTAGTTCCTGTCTTTGACAGGACAATAACAATGTGAGATTTGATATAATTTTCGCAAACCTTATTAAATAATAATCATATGTTAATTAGTGATTAGCTAAGAGACGGAAATTTTGAGATTACAATCGGAAACTATTGCCTGTGGAATTAAACGGTATATGCAACGTCTACTGTAAAACCTGTAAAACTTGATTAACCTAATCAGTCAAAAGTAGTTGTAGTTGGAATGCCCTTTTCAAACTTAGTCGAAACATTTAAAACTCAGTCATGAATTCTAGAGTTTCAAACAGTATATGTTTACATAAATAAATTAGCTACCAATACAGTGACGTTCCAATAGACTGGCTATGTTGAGTGTTTATGGTGTCTTTTGGTTTATGCTACCTGCTAAGAAATAGATTTTTTGGCATGGTGAAACATTTTGAAAAATATGCTTCAAAATGAATCAAAATACCTTCCTTATTTCTGAAACTCAAACATTATCTGTTTTTAAAACTTTTTATTGGTTAGAAAATCATGACTTACAAACTATTACCATAGCGACGTAAGGATAAGCAGATATGCTTATAGAAATGTTTCTTATATTTTTTATACTTTTAAATTACAGAAGCTAAATTTAGAGTTATATTTTTTGTCTCATTGATTAGATGGTTTCTGGTTTGACTTTTGTATTAATAAATATAAAGAAATTGTTTTGATTAAATTTTATTCACTTAGAATTCAAACTGAAAACTGAATTTTTTGTTACCCCTCTGTTCACCGATGAATTACTTTAGAATGGATATTAGACAATCTTCATAGAATGATGAGTCATATAAACCAGCCAAACCAGATGTGCGAGAAAAATGTCAATGATGATGGATGTGTTATATATCTAGAGCTTGGAACCTTTCAACCCCTGAATTCTGACTGGATAGTTATATAGTAATGCACTCCTCTCTGATAATTCACTTAGGGTATTTTGTTTCGAGTGTATTGATCACACTACTGAGATGCCACAAACCAGAATAAGGCAATAACTAGTGCCTCCCAGTTTTCAGCTGTTCTTTCGACGACATTAGTTTTCAGTGAAAACTATCTTCAAATCCTTTATTTGGTATGACCTGAATACCGTATGTAGCATGTATGAAACATTTCACCCCAGTTACTTTTAAACCTCTATTTTACAACCTTAGCTTTGATAGAAAACAAACAGCACACAATAATACAAAGAAAAACAAGTAGGAAAACAGTTTAATAAAGTTTTCATAAAACATTCAATCATAACCTTAGTTCTTCAATTCGTTTATTTGGTCAGAATGTCCAAACAATTAAGAGTTAACAAGCAAATGATGTTCGTTAATTTTGATGAGTTTATATTAATCCTCACATTATTGGTGTTGCCATATCGAGGTTGCTAAATATTACCTCAATGGTGTGAATAACCAGCACTAAAGTGTCATCTTGAAACAGCAGAATAACATTAACCATAAAATGTTGTTTTGTATGTATTGTATTCTCATTATCAGACTTTTTACTTTCATATTTATCTTTTGTATTTCTATTTTTTACAGAATGGACTGAATGCGCTACACTTAGCGTGCAAAGAAGGGCGAACTGACGTTGTAAAAGAATTATTATCACATGGCGCGTCAGTTCATATGATCACAAGAAAAGGCAACTCTGCTTTACACATTGCTAGCCTTGCAGGACATCTAGAGATCGTAAAATTGTTAGTTGACCATGGGGCTGATATAAATGCACAGTCTCAAGTAAGAAGTTCAGTAAAATAGTCTAAATGCGGCTTTATATGGTAGCATTACCTAAAATATTTACTTCAGTAGGTCATCAGAGGATATGTATTCAATTTGTTTTAAGTACCTAGGGTTAGCTTTTATGCTTGATAGGCTAGTTCCAGTCAAAAGTGCATGCCAGGACACATCATATTTATAAATCTTGAAATATCCCCGCCTCATGCAAAGTTGGGTAATCTTGGCAATAATGCATATTCTAGTCTTAGATGACAGACGTCCCTTTTAAAGGTCCTTATATTTTAAAGCTGAAAGTAAATAATTTATGTCGTTCATTGAATAGGTATCTGAAAATCATAACTGTGTTTTTATGTAATTACAAAACTGTTGTAACTTGTGGCTTTATGCCAAATTAATATATAACATAATGATACCTCTAATTAGAGAACACTGATTTATCGACCGAACAAATGACGCGTAAACCCGTACGAGCAGTCTAGAGTACTTATCGGTCCTTCTTCCTGCCTAGCCTTACCTGTTGAGTTCAGAACACAAATCTCAGCCTCTGAGATATGAATCATGTGTTTCAAACAAACTGGGTTTATATACAAACCAAACAAACCAAATCACACCACAAAACGGTAAACAAAATTTGTACAGGATCTAGCCAAAAGTGGCTGTGAATGTGGGAGACTGTAATTAATAGACCCGTTATAATTGTAGAACGGTAAACCGTATAATAATAGTCTATGGGTCAAAATAAAGCTTATAATGAGAGAAACATGAATATGGATAGTTTCATTAGTTAAAAATTATACAACAAAAATATATGTATAGTAATTGTTCATAAATGGATCCCAACAGTTACCATTCAATATTCTCATCGGGATATAACAAAAAGAGTAATTTTTAACTATAAGTGTCTTAAAAGGTATATGCGTAGTCAGACAGTTCGAAATATATTGTGTTAATCTATCATGTAATATTCTCTTTGGATGATCTAGAGAGACTGATTTTTTTAAAGACAGTGGTATGGCGAGTATTTGTAGAACATAGCCTATTTGCTACTGTGTTTATCATACGGTAGTTTGTATGGTAATAATTTTATTAATGAAACACAGTCAGGCCAATTGGGAGTTGTGGGGGTTGTTGAAAACTTAAATGATTAAAATCACATTCAAATTAACTAAAATTGACCATTTTCTTCTGGCACATAACTTTGAAAAAGTTTGAAAAATGATGAAAAACAACTTCTTAAAATAGGAAGAAAGAGACATTTAGTATCATTTCTTTTACGCAACGCAATTTCAAGGATTTTATGAATAGAATGTTTTAAAATACCTCGCCTGTTTTGTGACGTGGAGAACCACCACTAAGATTCGAACCGTCAGTGTAAGACTATATGTTACCCGGCATATACTAAAATTGGTCAAAAAGATCCACTTATTTAACACAGAGTAATGATCAAATACATCTACTTATCACAAATAGATCCAGTAGACAAATATTCATTAATTCATGATGCCAATTTTCTAACTGCAAAGAACAATTAAAAGAAGTATATCAAAGTGCAAAACAAGATCATAAGTTCAAAAGAAATGCTCAGATATCAAAAGATGATTGTTTAATACAAGTTTGATACGCATAAACCCATCTAACCTAGACACTGGATCACTAACTGCTGATTTTCAACATTTTATGTACTTTGCCTTGGATATTTACTTTCTACAAAGCGTCGTCTAAGCGTAAAAAGGTTTCCCACGCTATTCAAATGCTCCATTTTTGTACATCAGATTAGCTGGTAGCCAGATTTTCAAAATTTCTGGTCAATTATTACTATATTAGAGACTACTTGCAAGCCATTTAACCAAGACCACTCTTCATTTCTTAGTCACTATGACATCGCCTCGACCCCTTAAGTAGCAAAATAATCATCATCTCCAAGATCCTTAGTATTAAACTCAAATCATGCTGCATATGCAAAGTATGTTTTTCAACAGCGAACACTTTGATGCTTATTCTTCCATTTAGTTGTGATATAGAAATAGAAACAACAATTGGAATTCAGAGATTACTTCCTGTTTGTTAGCTGTAACAGATAATTGTGTATCAAGGATAGCAAGCCAATGAAAAATGAGTTTTCTTTATGTTTTTAGTGTTTTTAATATTTTACTGTGTTGGGATTGGATACAAATCATAAACTAAATAAGGTTTTTTAATAATTATCATCAACAAATTATCCTATTTATACGGATTGGTTGTTCTTACTGTTTGAGAAAAGAGGGGATGAACTAAAAAGAGTTAATGAGGAAGTGAAATCGAAAAAAACAATATAAGCAATAGGAGGAACTTATGAAAAGAAATTATTTCAGGTGACAGTTGTGTCTGTAAGCGGTGTAATTTATTGCTTTTATGAGAACTGGATAAATGGACTAACACAGTGATTTCGTGCTGATGTTATTACATAGAAAAAGAATAATTAATTGAGTAATTGGCATGCATACGCTAATTAATTATATGTTATTCACTGGTGGACTACAATTAATGATCTGCAACGTTTAATATTTGTAAAAATGAAACTGAGGCAGTGTAATTTATATAAAATGACATATTGTTTATGAAAATGTTGTTTAATGCATAAGATTGAGTCGATTTGAATTTCTTTTCATTCAGAACGGATTTACACCTCTTTACATGTCGGCTCAAGAAAACCATGTTGAAGTTGTTCAGTACCTTCTGGACAAATCCGCTAATCAGGCTTTATCAACGGAGGTTGGTTTAATCATGTTTAATTAAAACCGTTTGTATTTACTTCTGATAAATTAGCATTACATTACTTTACTAAATCATACTTACTTAGAAGTATAAAGTGGAGACTTCAAATCAGAAGGACTCTGATGTACTACTTATTTATTTAGACAACAAATAACCGTTCTCCTTAGTTCTAAGAAAAAAATGGTTCGGGGATTCACGTAGATTTGCTTGCCTTTATGATATGTTGTGAATAATTAGGTTCCATTATTGCCACTAACATTCAATGTAGCTTTTTAAAAATCAACCATCATCTTTAGAATGAATGTCATTCTTTTTAAGCTTGATTTATTCATTGTTTTATATGGTAAATCTAAAATGTACTGGGTCATTCTACTCTTGTAATTGCTTTTTGTGTTACAAATCGATGAGTGAATCCTATTTGTCATCCTTCATAATCAAATTCTACCGGCGAAGATTATTCTTAATAAATTAATAAAGAAACTAATTTCAACCGGTTTCTAACCAAAAAAGCAACAAATAAATAGGAGAAATCAATAAACCTATTTTTGTTGAAAGTTGTCAGCATTAGTAAATGGTTCTCCCACATTTATCAATATTTCTTAACTTCAGAGATATTCTCCTGGAGTTTCCGTCAATTATTGATCACGTGTTAATAAAACAATTTTTCAAGTATTAGATGAAGTTCAAAATGCTTATTCTAAATAAATTCATGTGATGAATGTATGAATCAGCTTAACTGATTACTTGTCATAGTATTTATTGAAAATGTTAAATGTAATCTAGTTGTTTATATCATAAGAAAATCTTGATTAACAAAACTTAAACTATGTGTCAATACTTGGCATTTATTCTCATCATTTTTTACTGTTTCAAAATAATATCTATTACTCAAATAGCCTTACATTTAAATAATCGTTATTTTACAAGTTTCTATGATAAGCGTTGGTTAGTTTAATAGAATAACCAACGGATTATATCGTTATTTAATGACACTGCATTTTTAACGTTTGTTACTATGAATTTCTCAATATTAGCTTTCCTTCAATAAGAGAAAAGGTTTGAAAGTTATCTCCTATCTACGGAGTAATATGTTTTGATTATCCTTTCAAGAAACGTTATTTCATTAAATACAATGATATCGAATATTTGATGTTCAAATGGTTTTGTATAAACCTTTCCTTTACTTGTTGTGTGTTATTTCCATTAAAAAAATGAATTCATTATACATTTAAACTATAGACCATTGAATAAAATCAATGATGGTGTGCTAATTAACTTTATGTGAGATAATTTATAAACTGAGTAAAAACTGTCTGCAGACAAGCTTTTTACTGAAGGTAAACAAAATTCATCACATCCATGTCCCATAAAAACTACTGTTTAATTTATTAATAATTGCATTACTAATCTTAGTGACTAAAACTTATGATCAGGGATAAAGTGCATTTTTTTACAACTTTAGTTCAACTGACAGAATTAAGGGTATAACGACAAAGAATTTGAATATATTCGACAGTATCGAAAAATAGAATTATATACTTTCCAAGGAAATCACATAATTCCATTAGCTGTTTAAATGTTTTTGAAGTATTTCTCCATAGATCGCATGTAGGATTTTTTGGAAGTGAGGTAACGATCTTAGTAAAATTCTCGGTTTACGGCATTTTGGTATACCATAAAATTGACGGAGCACAAGTTTATCAGATTTTATTTACTATTAGTTTTGTTTTATTAATTGCCCTGCTTTTATTAGTTTATTAGTGGTCTTGTTGATGCAATTACTCAGTTTTCGATTACATTAGCTTCATCAGTTTCTATAATCAGTTACTCAGCCCCGTTAAAGTATCCTAGTAACACTGTAGATGTCTTAGTAGTTATCACAATGAAAATGAAGGTTGAGCAAATACGTTACCAGATTATTAATGTCTATTGATTTTGGAAATGTTTGTCAAATACCACCCTTAGTTTGCTGCTCAAAACAAAACAGCAGTGTATGTAAAGTATGAAGTTCAGGAATTCAAAATTTTTCATTCATTTCTCATATGAACTGTTTAAAGTTCCGACTCATTGAAAGCATATTACCCATTTTTAGAATCTAGACATTTGAAAAAGTTAACGAGAGGTACATCCTATATGCAACATATTCACGGCTATTTTAAAATTTATTTTGGTCATCAATAAGGATTAGGTATATGATAACCCATCAGTGATTGGCTAGTCTGGGTTTATTGACTTGTTTTAATTTATAAAATAAACAGATTTAATCAATCAAAATATAACATATCTTGTTTTTATGAACTCCTTTTGCGTACATTCTTACATTGAACCCTTTTGAAGATAAAACTAATTATCTTACCGATGCCTCCCAAGCCGCTTGTGAGTAAGCGTTTCCGAACGAAACAATAGGGAAAAATCAATAGAAAAAATAAGATAACTCTTAATCAATGTTGGATATGATACAAAAGTAGATTAGTGAAAGGTAATACATGTTAAAGAATAATAAGAATCGTTTATAGGTTTAATGTATGAATATTTAACAAGATAAAATTATGAAGGGCACTAAGATAGATTTTTAGACATAAAAATCTAGCGTCATAAATTTTGTGACACAATGATTGTATAGCAAGTTTCAATGAATAAGGCTCATACAGCAAGCAACATTGAAATTTACTTAACCTATTTTAAATATTACCGAAACAAACTCGCTGTTTTGAATCATGAAAGTAAATTGAATAAAATAAAAATACGAAAGTAATTTCAGTTTATTTTCAAATAAGCTAATAATGAAGAAACAATGTGAAACAATCTTTCTGGTAGTACTTATAACAGTACAGATACATTTATCATTCTGTTTAGTGAATTTTTTTTGTCGACATCACTAATTTTGTATAACCTCAACTTTAAACTAAGATGTTTCCGTTTTTTTTGTATTTTCTATGCACTAAGATTCCCAAATTAATGCTTATTTACTATATCATGTTTCTCTATTTGCTTTATTCAGGATGGTTTCACACCACTTGCAGTGGCACTACAGCAAGGACATGATCGTGTTATAAGTCTGCTACTGGAAAGGGATTCTCGCGGAAAAAGTCGCTTACCTGCTCTACATATTGCTGCAAAGAAAGATGATGTTCATGCTGCTAAATTGTTACTCAATAACAGCGAAATAAATGTGGATCATACGTCGGCTGTGAGTGCTTTTTGCAAATACTACATATTGTTTTACACACCAAATAAGGATTATTTCGACTGCGTTATCAATATTACAATAAAGTTGGCTGTGATGGATATTCTTTGAGTTTATTTATTGAAGAGGAATAATCGTATAACTATAGACTAATCAGTAACCGTATCACTCTGATAAATATTAACTTATTCAAATATGAATAGGACTGTTAAATGAAGTTGTACAAAACAATGAGTGACGAATTAAACATTTTGAATTTTTCGTAATGCAGTAAATTATACAATACAGTTTCTTCGTTGTATCTACATAAATCCACAGCGAATACGAAGTACATCGAAAAGTTAGCCCCCTGAAAATAGAACTAAACATGTCAAAACGTACTAACGAAGCTTCATTTCTGGATCGCTTCCTTCAAAGAATGTGTTCAAACGCTTATTTTCACTTTGATTTCTTTCTTATCATAAATACCACTGTTATATGATAGAATATCATAAGCATATCACCTAAAAACCTAAAGCATTGATTTAAAAAGCTTTCTTACATATTGTCGACAAATATTTTGGACGGAATTGAGTAATGTGACTACAGAATATACATAATATTTTTTTCAGTTATGGATGTCAACTATATTTCTTTAGATTGTAAAACTTCCTGTAATGCCCTTGATAAATATGCTGAAAAATGCTAGCCTATGACTCACATATAACTGCATTAATTAAGATTGCAACTAGAGGTTTTAAAGTTGCGATGGTTTAAGTTAATCAAACCATATATGAAATTAAAACTAGAACCTTGTTATATACACATTTATGATATTCATTGAAGTTATTACTTATATAGTCTTTCATTCATTATTTGTTTAATGGCAGTATAGCACATTTACTTGCTAATTTTTTGATGTCATTATACTTTTACAGAGTGGATTTACGCCTTTACACATTGCCGCTCACTATGGGAATGTTAATATAGCTAAGTTGTTGATTGAGAAAGGAGCGAATATTAATTACCAGGCAAAAGTGAGTCCCATTTTTGTCATTACTCGATCCAATATCTTGTTAAAGAATCAATTAGTTTTAGAGATAATACATAATCAGATCAGTACTGACCAGTTGATAAGTTTGATCTCGATGACATTTCAGTTATTCGTGTATACATATAATATTGAACCAAAAGAGTAGTTAGGACAAGAATGGATTATGGCTAGGTTATGAACTCAAAAGAGTTTTGTATTCTCAATCAACGATGCTGAAAACTTTAGGAACGTAAGTTAAAAACCTATTAGTGGTTAGTTATTTGAGAAATAGATTATCTATTTTAGGGAATACAGTGATACAATTATTTCTAAAGATGGTTGCATTTCAAAACTAGATTAACAAATTTTTAAAAATTATCACTATGTTGAACTGCCTATCAAAATAAATGAAAAATAGGCTTTTCAACCGATGATTGTCAATTCCTACAGTCATAATTTCAATTAATGATAAAAAGGAATCTATTTCAGTTGGGATCAAACTCATTTTTATTAGCAGATTGTACATGTAAGTAAAATAGGTTTTTTTAAAGTCTGTTACTTAACTTACGCAAGGAAAATATATTCTTCAGTTTTGCCTGAATGAGTGTTACAACATATGACATAGTCACTAATGAATTTTCATAATAGGTACTCAATAATGAAAGAAATATTGTTAGTAATCATTCTAAATATAACCAGTCACCAGTGAATCATAGGTCAAATTGATAAAATTACTATACTGTAAAACTTTCGTTTTATCTCTCACCTTATATAGAAGACATTGAGAACTGTGGAAGTAATATAGTAAGTAAGAACGTTTTGTTTAAACAGATGACCTATGAAGTTCTATGAATCTTTATCAACCTAGATTAATATTCAGAACCTGAGACAACTGATGTTCATAACTCGCATTGATAATTCACACGGTGTATCTGTAACAAAGAAAATATGTGCACTTCCCCGACCTCAGTGATTGATGATATGGATTCTTCGTCTCCGGTACTAAGTGACACAAATGTTATTTATGTGGTATATATAGTCTAATATTTATACTTACATCTTAGCGTCTTGTCTTATAATCCATTTTGTCAGTCATATTTGTAGGGTTAAGGTAGTTTCAACTGCCCTGCTTATTTTGTAATTATATCCATAAATGCCTTGGATAACCTCCAAATCATTTACATTTCACTTGACTGGAAACTATAGTTGAAGGATTTCTTATTTGAGTTTTTACTATGGAATTGACGTAAGTTGGTAACATAGTAGTTGAAAAACTCATTAATATGAGTCAATTTCCTTTAAAGCCCTGGAAAAAAAATCATACTAACGTCTGTTTAATGAAATGAAAGGAAGATTTTATCTAAATGTGTCCGTTTTACATAAACGATGTCCCAAATATAAGGTATTATTCATAATTTTGATTTCTTTCTATATATGATCGAATAGAATTGTATAACACCGTTACATGTAGCTGCTAAATGCGGAAAGAATGAAGTTCTAAGCGAACTGATACGAGCAGGAGCTGAAGTAAATAGCCGTACGCGAGATGGACTAACACCTTTACACAGTGCATCTCGTGCGGGTCAAACTGCTACTGTGGAATATTTATTGAAAAATGGTGCTGATCACACTTTGAAAACAAAGGTACTTGTCGCACTTTTTCTATGATGTACAATTTAATTAGTATATAGTTTATAGAAAATAATGTGAATACTGAATATATATGACAAGTCGTACTGTTAATTGTTTGAGGTTAGACATAACCTTTAACCTTAGCATATATTAAGTATGTCATCTGATGCTAACAGGGAATCAAATCTTTAACAAAATGTACTTTATTTAAAAAGTAATGACTGGAGTAGAGTAGTCATTCACATTGATAAGGTTATTTTTTTTTTACCGAAGTTATATGAAATCTATATATAATTTATTGTATTTTGATTGATCAAGACAGTCTGTAAATTATGATAGAACTGGCTGGTCGTGTTAATTTGTTGACTAACGACTTAACAAATAACTAAATTGGATATTATAAAATAACTTGTTTGAATAATTGGATAGGTAACTTACATTTCTAGGATAGAAGACTGCAATTTTATGTTTAAAATTCTGATATATTACCTATTAAACCACCATCAAACTTCAAACGCATTCGGGATTTTCGCAAACATTTAGAGGAGCTGAACTGATATCTTATACTAGAACAATACATTAGAAATTTTTATTGGGATTAGGCGGTCAAATTACTTTACTCATCTCAGTGAAATATAGCATTTGACTGTTATCTAGCAAACACATTTCGTGACTATTGGAGAAATATTCTGATAATATTTAGTGTTATACATGATCAAAGTAACATGAAAAGAAATGACTATTGTGTAATTTGTTTACACTAAGTTTTTATCAAACTAAATCTTCAAACAGATTTACAAGTTTTTAATACATCAAAACCCTATCATTCAATACCAATCACAAGTTATTAATAACCTTATCTATAATTATTTACTTTATATCAAAATAATACAATGGTTCATTAAGATGCGGACTATCTAATTATCAATTTTTAACAAAGTTTTCACAATAGAAATACTGACGAGATTCGCACGCTTTCTTTCCAACATTTGTAAAGTTAAATCTGACATGTTTATTTTTAATCTTGAAAAATAGTTGAATAAGTGGTACTAATAATTCCCACACTTTTATTATTAATGTTTTATAAAGATGATCATACATAGAATGATCATTGTTGAGACTAGAGTATATAAAATACCTTTCTTTGTGATATTTAGATGAGGTAGTTAATAAATTCTAAGAAGTGAAGAAACTATAAAATGTTTTACGTGAAAATAATTCAATTGTTAATATTCTTAGGATAAATGTTTCAACATTTGAATATATAATTCTATTTCATATGTTTCTGCACATTTTTCTTGGCAGAATGACTTGACACCATTGCATTTAGCTGCACAAGGTGCTAATGAAAGTGTTGTACGATTACTATTGCGGAATGGATCTAATCCGGATGATGTGACCATTGTAAGTTACAAATAATATTTAAGGCATACTACATTAAAACCAAAGAAAACGTTGAATTAGTGTTGCTTCTAATAATAATTTGCGTTACCATAACAACTTATAATTACTTTTACCGATGTTTTGATAGTATAGCATGTTTCTACCAATTAGAAACAACCTACTTAAATATTCCTTCATCTTAGCCTTGATTTATCGATTAATTTTCTCTCTAAAGGACGTCATTTGTTTTGAAAGCAGATTTTATACAAGTACTTGTAAAACAAACTTTAAATAATATTATTTCCACTCAAATAACAAAAGTAAACTTATTTGACGTCAGAAATAACTAGACATGGAACATTTCAATCATTGTCTCAGAATAGAGACAATCTTCAAGTCAAACTCATTTTTAGAATCTTGCGTTATAAATCAGTATCCTCGAGAGATCTTGACCTTCGATGTCATGTTTCGTAAAAAGTTTTATAAAAATCTGTGACTGAAGAAACATTATTACACTGTGAAGGAAAGTACTCTTCAAAAAATATTCTTAATTCGTCATTTTGTTTTTTTATTTGAAAATATACAAAATAAGAAAACTTGAAAGGTTTGTACCAAACTCTTATAATAGTTACTGTCTAATGGTTAAGCACTGCACCTGTTATTGTCTGTTTCTAAAGCATCTACTGGTACCTAAACAACTAAGTATCGTCATAAATTGAATTTAATTGCGTGTATGTATGATGGTCACCTGTTATCATCAGCAGTTTGTCTAACATAAAAAGGAATTATTAACTGATATTTATATCTAACTTTAGTCATCTGAACAACATTCATTCATAGTATCGTCAGTTTACCAACAAATTTCCGTTGCATACTTTGACAACCGATGTACAAATCAATAAAGTTTTCTGAATTTCCAAGTTATAAGAAGAGAATGGTGAACAACCTTTGTTACCAAGAATTATGTAGTTCATATACTGTTTGAGTTGGAGGTAGCGATACTTATCAATAGAAATTGCAAAAATATTATAAAAATTCGTTTCGATTAATGTTTTATTTAATATTAACCAAGTGTGAACCAATAATTCAACTATAACATTCGTTAACAACGAGTTTACTTATAACCTATTAATAATTAACCATAAATGAGGATACTATTTGTCAAACCATTCAAATCATCTCTGTCTTTTCGTCTCATAGGATTATCTCACCCCTCTACATGTTGCAGCCCATTGCGGTAACGTGGACGTGGCTCGTGCTTTATTGAATTCCCAATGTAATGTTAACGCAAGAGCTCTGGTAAGTCAATCAAAGCAATAACTGGTAAACTAAAAATTTACTTATACTAAAATACGAACGTGAACAAATTTATCAGTTGAAGGCTTATCAGTAAGGCAAAGACAAATATCCAGATTAGTCCAGCTGGTGAAGATAATGATGTAGTTCTAGAGGGTTATATGTAAGGGAAAATACTTATGACTGACAAATTATGAAACTGCCTTTGAAGTTGAACTTAGATTTTAGTTGAAGAACTCCTCTTTATCACGATATAGCAACGAGTGATACAATCACAAGTTTTCCAAAATCGCTGCAATGAATATTTGCTTAGTAGCCTTGTGAATACAGCCGAAAAATGTTTGGATTACTGAGCGTTAAAAAAACATTGAAGCCCACGGTGATACTTAAATTATATTCAGAATACATAATAATGAAATTAAAAACAAACGAGGCACAATAATCAAAAATGAAAAAAAAGTATGAAATTTGACATCAGTTATAAATATTATAATGACAAACAGAATGGAACAGCTAGTCTATGCACTAGTTTATGCAAAGTCAACATAAATCAATCATTTTGGCAGTTTATCGTATTGGCAATTGCATGCCAAAAACGTCAAACAAATTTATTAGGATGGTGGAAGCACTAGTTATTCAGATTGAAAGACCGAAGCTTCGTGTACAAAACAAATTTATTCAGTCTCTTCTTTTAACTTGACCCATCTCAGGCCCAATAGGCCAGTGGTCGTCTCAGTTTCACCAATATACATACGGTCTTCCCCTTTTGTATATTCATATTTCAAATTCCTGTTATTCGAATATCGTTACTGTAATTATTATTATTATGTCCACCATTATTATTAGTCTTGTAAGCACATGAAGAAACTAATTAGGATTAACTCCATTTTATTGTTTTCTACTTAATTCCTACCATTTCATGCACTAAGTTATCTTCCATTAAACATCTGATGCAATTTATACCCACATTATTATTTCTCTCACTTCTTGTTGTCTATATTTATTCTAACTAATAATCTCACAAATCCAACTGACTCATATACTGATTCTAGTCAACATTACATGTTAGTCATTTCAGCCTTAATCAGTTTATTTTCATTTCCAAACGATCCTAAATTCACATGTCATAGTTTCAAAAGATGTATTTGCCTTAAACTCGGTTATTTTTTGTTTGACTGATTTGGATATATGTATAACTATGTAACTTGAATAGAATTTGTTTGAAAGAATATTCTTCATCCACCTTTTTGTGTTTTCAGTACCTCGAGAATTTTCAAACAGCTAATCTAACTATCAAATATCATTTTATAATTATCTCTAACTTAGGCTGTTTATTATGAATCATTAAACGTGAAAATGGCCAAAGAAATAATGATTGACGTTGGAAACCCAAAATTATCCACTCTCAGCTTTCATAACCATTTTGAATTCAGGTCAAATACAATCGATACATATACAACATTAATAATAATAACAACCTAATGAATGAGAATTTCAATAAGTTGTCTCAGTGAGTAGCTGATTATTTAGGCTTTTATTCATACCAGTTAATATTCCGAAAAAGCCACCTAGCAGGGCTAACAAAAGGATTCCTTCTTAAATTTACCCACATGAACGATAACTAGTTTTCTAGCCTTATTCTGAAAGAGATATGCAGTTTCCCCCTTGAAACTATTGATCTATGTTTGTTGTTTAGAGTTCCTACATTTTGTTTCGCTTTTTATACAGAATGGGTTTACTGCACTTCACATCGCATGCAAAAAGTCACGAGTTGAAATGGCTTCAGTTCTTCTTAAATATGGCGCTCTACTTGAAGCAGCCACGGAGGTAAGTAGTTGCCTCATATTATTTTGTTGCTTTTCTTGAGGTTTATCAACTTGCTTTTAAAAGTCTGTGGATATCGGTGTACATTCCTAGATAAATGCTTTCACTAATTAACACCAAATTATTTGTCGAACAAACGTTTAAGCGCCTTAATTTTAAAATCAATTAAATCCTACAACATCCCTCAGGACATTTTTCCTGCACAGTGGAGAACGTTTTGAAGCAGTCATGGATTGATTTATCACTGCAGTTCTTTATCATCCGAGAGCATAGTAATGGTTTCATCCCCAATCGGATAACGTGAATTTTCTACAGAATAATGTGTTATCCACGTTTCAAATTTACACGGAAATTATTTGTGAAATTTAAATTTTCCTATTCGAGATGTCTGTAGAAATTACAATGGTCAAAATTTTCACAATTGTTTTGCATGGAAGCATGAGAAACAGATAGTAACCATCGAGTTGTAGTGAGACGGTTTGTACTTTAAAGAGCAATACAGTTAATCCCTGTTTACTTAAATATTAATGAACGAAACTTGCTATAGAAAATTTAGCATCTTATAAGGCAATTTATCACTTGGATGAAGAAATATAACGAGAATTATGATTACACTTTTGGTGTGTACGAGTTTTCAGCTGTCAGTCTCGTCTAATGTAAATTTTGTGTTCAGAGAATTTTCGTTACAGATAGCTTTTGCTTTTGAGTTCACCAAGAAGTTTTCAGTCATCTTTGTGTTCTCTTGTATATTTTAAAACAGATTTTCAAAGGTTAAATTTATTTTACACTCTTAAAAAATCAAATATGTAAAACACATTTACTGAAATAACAATAACTTTGAAAGTGATCATTTTGTTTCCTATTCATCTACATTTTATTGAAATGTCAGACTGGCCTCACTCCATTACATGTGGCTGCATTTTTTGGGTGTACAGACATTGTCTCATTTCTTTTACAACATGGTACGAATGTGAATCAAACAACTTTGCGTAATGAAACTGCACTACATTTAGCGGCTAGAAATAAACAACTGGAGACAGTGAAAACTCTTCTTGGTTACCAAGCAAATTTAGATTGCCGTACAAGAGTAAGTTATTGACGTGTAAGATAAAACCATTAAGATTTGAATATATTTGGTTTTTAAGTAGATAATGAAAGTTTTGGAAAAGGTTAGCACAAAATGTAGTCAATATCTAAGGCCGTTCATATTACCATCACTTAGTTTGACCCTCATTCAACACCTATATTAAAAATGTTCATACTCTTTTAGTGAAGAATGTTGCTTACTTTTCAGGATCCCCCAGCTAACTAATGGAGGCATCAGATATAGGTATGAGTCCAGATTACGAGTAGCAAATAAGCTATGAGTCTACTTTATATTAATCAGTTGAAGTGGGCTTTACTGTAAGAGTTTATGTTTATAGGCTTATAATTAATGATTGAAAGTAATCTAAACTCAATATACTCAATAACTATCTATTAATTTTTGAAATAAATCTAGAGAGAGGAAGCCTTTCTATGTTCAGTCAGAAAATAAGATATCTAAAAGATTTACCCACACACTTACTAAATTGAAAATGGATATAATACCGATCGAATTATTTTAATACAAGCAAAAACAGGAATGCATCATGATCTATGTTAATCTGAGTATATCAATGTGAATAAAAGAATAAGAACTAAGCTTCGATTTTCATGTGATCAAGAATCTTTACTAAGAAACAAGCAAAAAATGAAATGACTTTAATACAGTGAAAATATAGTCATGTTATAAAAAACAAAATTATTTGCAGATTGTCTTGACTACATATTTCTTTTTTATTAGGATAATCAAACACCCTTACATGTCGCTGTCCGTACAAACTATCTGCCAATTGTTGAATTGTTGTTGAATGCTGGTTCCGATCCTAATATAATGACAAAAGATAATTACACACCATTACACATGGCTATTAAAGAAGACTCAGAAGATATTGTTAGAATATTGATTGAGCACGATGCTAATCCGGAAGTTAAAACAAAGGTGAGTCAATGTCTTTATTTCTTAAGCGGCCTCTATTTTTAATAACCAAGTTTTAAATTGAGAAATAAAAATTGATTTATTCACCGATTGATTTGATGCCAATAACTCATTCGTTAATAATGTGTTACTGTACACTTCCCCATGTTTAATTAAGATGCATTCTAACAATGTCACTCATACTCAGAAATTAATCAATATTAGCCAGCTTTTGAGAAAACCCTACTACAATACAGAGCTTCGAACTTATTTACGGTAATTCATATATTCAAATTCAGTCCATTAAAATGAAATCACAAACCATGTTCTAGACATATATGATATTTTAGTATGTATGTTAAAAATTACAAGTAATTTGATGATGACATTCATCGGAAGCGACAAAAATAAAGTCTACAAACTAATTAATATCTTATTATTTGTTATAAAAGGTTGACAAGTATATGAGATCGAATGAAATCTTAACAAAAGGTTTGATGAACAACAAGGTAGGTCAACATAACACCCTGAATAATTAAATAAAAAAATATAGTTTCATATATATAACAGCGTTTCTTAGACTTCGAAACCAATCCCTCGTTGTTTTATCAGCATAGTTGTGTTAACATAAATTAACTTAATGATTTGTTTGGTTCACGTGTTACACTTACTAGTTATTCTAATTAATACATTTGCAAATTTTATTTTCAACAGAAAGGATTTACACCATTACACTTAGCAGCAAAATATGGTTCATACAAAACAGCCCACTTGTTAATGGACAGAGCAAAGTCTGATCCGAACGCAACTGGTCCCAATGGCTTCACGCCTGTACATGTGGCCACATATTACAATAATAACAAAGTAAGTTGTCATGATTTGGTAAGCGTTCAACTGCTGCTTCATTTTCATTTAATCAGCCACGTCATTATTTGTCTTTTATTATATTAAATACAAGTTTTCAGGTACCAAGATGAGTTATATTTGTAGTTGAGTAATTCAACGATAGTTCTTGTCAGAAATGTTTAATTAATAATCGAAAGCAAATGAATTATTCAATATGATTTGATAACAGTTTAATGTTACTAAGTGCTAACATACGTAATGTTATGAACAGAACGAAACTAGAAACTAGATGTATTCCAAAGGTAGTGTTTTAAGATAAAGTCACAATTCTAAGAGATTAGAAACCCTTTTCGAAGTAATACCCAAATAGTTAAAACCAGTATTGAGAAAAATTGTTCTTTTTTTGAATGTTTTATGGGAATTTTTAAACTGCAATATTCTATTTGATCAAATTAAATCCTAACTAGAACATCATACATATAATAATAAGATAGGCCCACTATACTTTACTAATGTCTTATCAACTAAATAATTATTAAATTAATAGTGATAATCGAATTCTGCTAAACACGGCAACGGTGAGGTAGTTTCCTTAATAAAATTGACATATTTATGCTTTTATTTATTATGCCTCATTGTTACCATGTTTAGCGAAATTTCATTATCACTATAATCGTATTAATTATCATTTTGAGAAATATGTATGCCTGGAATTGTATAGCTTTGAAAATGAATTTGTTGAAGTGAACTCGTCGCTGAACCAGTCTTATTTTATGTCTCAGTGGGTATATTCTGTTTACATAATAATTTGCAGGAACTGGATAACCGATACTTGAGGAACATCCCCTGAGTTTGAGAAATGCGGAAATTAGTCAGATTTATAAAGACGAATGTTTTCCAATATATAGATTAATAAATACTATAAAGTAATTTTAAGCACATAAGGTTCATAAATTTAATTCTTTAACAGCAGATAACCAGACAAAAGTTATTCAAATACCATACATCTGTTAATTAGTTGTTATTGATGATTTCTTTTATAAGTAGAGGATCATGGAGAAAGTAAAACTCAGAGACTAAAATTTCTTAGCACAGCGACCATAAATAAACGAATTTTAAAAGAAATTAGATGTTTTATATCATGAACTGACTTCAGTTAGATAACCATTGAAAACTAGAGAGCAATTGACAGCTATGGAAAGGTGACGACTAAAAGTAAGTAAGATGCTTCAGTAATCAAGGGAATGTAGGCCGCGACTTGGGTTTGGTGGATAATTTACAAATCCACGGACGCATGAATGAAGAGAATTTTTTTCTGAGTAAGCTGTCATAGAATTTTACCTACAAATCTAGAACCTGATGAGAGTTTCTTGAAAAGAATATTCCATGTTTTAATATCGTTTAAGACAGTTGGATAATTTACTGACGATAGACCTTTCATAATTTTTATTTCACGAGCATCGTGCGACCTTGCATGAGCAGTTATTCAGTCTGGTATTGCAGCAATCTGGGATCTGTTAGGGGCCGTCTACCTGTTAGTTTTTCATGCAAAATAATCAACTGAGTTGTTATTCAATTAAATGAACTTTGGATTAACTTCTATGACTATCTACTTACAACTTAAACCACTATGAGTACCTGAAACTTGTCTTACTGTTGATCCTATTTCAGTCCTAAACACGCAAACTATATATGATTATGGGTTACGATTACCAAGTGTGTGAGGTTGAGATTGTTTATTCTATTCATAATCATTCCTAAAACATTAGTGATTTTCTTCATTTGGCAATAACGTCAAATCAGTTGAAACTTATATTTAATTTTGCATTTACTTTAAAGATGTTGGATAAATTAATAGAGTTTGGAGGTGATGTCAATCGACCTGTTAAAAATGGCTTTACACCGCTTCATTTGGCAGCCAAACGAAATCATCTAGATTCAATCCATTTATTAGCATCTAAAGGAGCCATAACTGATAAGGGTTCAAGGAACGGTTATACACCACTTCATTTAGCTTCACAAGATGGTCAAATCGAAATAGTTAAAGTTCTTGTTGAAAAATACAAAGCTCAAGTGAATACTGCAGCCAAGGTATGTGTTCGGTAGACAAACTGATATCCCCATAAGAAGTAGCATCCACTTTCATTTATTTTTTAATTTACACTTTTTTTATACTGAGGAATAAATAGCTCAATATATATTTCATTTATAAGGATAATCTTAAGCAACAAAAACAAATTTGGATTTCGTGAATGACTCATCTTCATTGGATTGAAAATTGCCCAAAGGTAATCAAAGTCTGAATGCAAAATATACAGACTCCATTAAGACTGTACTAAACCAGGTCTGTCGGCTTCAGAATTATGGGTACAACTCTTCTGTTTTACCCGTTTTCTAACAGTGATAAGTTCAAGAGATTGATCGTTAGGCTGATTATATGCTTAGATCCATGGACTGAAATTCCTTATTTCTTTATCTCATTCTATATACTTACAATATATCACTTTTATAGGACGGTTTAACACCACTACATTTGGCGGTACAGGAAGACAAAGTTAACGTAGCCGAATATTTATTAAGTTCAGGCGCATCCATTGATACGAAGACACTGAAAGCTGGGTTTACACCACTACATTCATCTGCTTATAGGGGACAGCTCGCCTCTGTTCGTCTGCTTCTATCATGTGTCCCTGAACATCAACTTCAGCAAGTTATAAACAGTCGCACTCATATGGGTTCAACTCCACTGCATTTGGCAGCCCAACAAGGTCATCTACAAGTAGCTCTAAAACTGGTTCAAATGGGAGCTGATCCAAACATTTGTAATAAGGTAATTTTTAAAAAAATCTTATCACACTAATTATAACTTCAATGTTTATACTTGCCTGTGAACACTATTTCTTTAGGTCGAGCTTATGTCTAGTTACAGAGTTTTGTTGATATTGTTTAAATGTAAATAATGCTCGGCTAAATTTTCATAACTTTTGATTTTTTAGCAAGGATGGACAGCAGCAAAATTAGCTCATAAGCAACATTATTTGAACTTGTTCGAATTGTTGCAATCAATTACAACTAATGGCGGTGACGGATGTTTACCAAGTTCAAATGGAATAGATGATAATGCAAATCTAATCAATGGTGTAATGCCCTTAGAAAAAGCGGAATATATGACTGATCACATGATTTCAGATAGTGAAGATGAAGGTAGTAAAATTTTTATTTTTTTTACTATTAAACTGAATCATTTGTCAAATAAATTATTGAACTACTGTACAAAATCTACTGTTCTATTTAGTTTCATTCAGCAGTAGTTATGTAACCACCTTAAGCACTACATCAGAGCAACTAATTATTATTATTACACAATCACTGATATCAAGAATTTTTAACCCGTATGGAGCATGTCCCTTCTGAACACAATGTTATACTTGCTTATACTTAATCATTAAATGAAACTTTTTTTTAACACTAAGGATTCTAATTTTGACAATGAAAATAGATCCAGAATCTTTGAAAAAATCTTGTGCAGTCATGAATCGGTAGTAATACTTTCCACTCATATCATTAATGATAGTTTCAGTAACAATGAATACAGTGAAGGAAATGTTTAACCTAGTGAGAAAATGGCAAATTAGAATATTAAGCAGATTAATTTATGTTCAAAAAGTATACTATTCGGTATTAGCACTTGTAGGACAAAACTATTTTACTCGTCTTTCTAAGGAGCATCTACTTGAAACAAAAGGATTCAGATCATGCATTAGTATTTATTGATTCATGTGATTTTTTTGTTTAGTCTCTTTGTTATTACAGGGGAGTAATTAGGATATTATTTACCAACTGGGAAATGTGTCCTAAGAGCCTGATATCAATGAGAACTGTAATTCAGTACCTGAACTAAAATTCAGTTCAGTGCAGTAAAACATAAATTTTTCTTCCCATTTAAGGGAATTCTATTTGATTTAATAAAGATTCACGTTTTGAAAATGGGACATCGTTTTGAGAGGATCTCGTGGTATTAGTCTATAATATTCTTTACATAAGATAAATTAATACTGATACTCATAGGTAACTTTACACATAATCCATAATTTCAGAAGCTATTATACACGATCATAAGAAATACATTTTTCTATGTGAATGTCTTAATGTATAAGTGTTGTAATTAATAAATGTTGTTTTGATGGTATTTTTATGTTAATATGCAGCCGACCTTTTATCTACACCAGCGATGTTTCGATATCCTGAACCACGTAAAGAAATGTTAGATGAACCAGGTAGGAGTTTTACGCTGAATACATTTACCCTACGTATAAATGTTTGACTTTAAAGGGTTTTATTTATGATTATTGTTCATTCAAATTACCTTTCTAAATTTCTCCATTTGACTAACATCTAATCACGTTTAAAACCATAGTAGCCAAAATTCATAACATTGTCAACTACACGAGACGTTTTCAGTGTATTTAAAAATGTAGACAAGTAATTTTAGTGTTGGTAGTTACTCATTGAATTATTTATAGCACTGATAAAGACAATAGTTAAAAAAATCGATTACATTTAAATACATTAATAAATAAACTAAGAATATACTTTTCAATGAATTACTGTCTAGTCCTACAGTCACAATTTCAAATAATGGTAAAGAATTTTTTTAGTTGGGGTCAAACTCATTTTTATTAGCAAGTTACATATGTAAGTAAGGTAGGTTTGCTAAAGTTTAGTAGATATTGTGATGGCAAGTATGTGTTGATTGCTTCATTCAAGCTTGTGATCAAATAACAATATGGAATTATTAATTTGATTTAAAATACGTAATTAAAATAGGGGGATGATGAGTAAATGGTTCACTTGTGTAACATCTCGCGATGTTACTTGGCTTACTAGTTCACTCAATAACTTCAAAACGTTGACTGCCTTATATTGCTTACACTATTAAATTTATAGTTAGTGAATAGATGTAAGTAACTAAGCATAAGAAACTTGTTTATGCTTACCTTGTAACTCTTTTGGATCATTAATTTGAACTTTTGGCTATAGAAGTTAATGATTTACAAAAGAAACATGTTCTTCATATGTATAACAAGTAAACAATTAAATGGACGTTTTAGTCTATATAAATCTACATTAACAATGTAAGCTATATATGTCAATCTGTATTGGTTCAGGTTATCACAGTTCACATCACTACAAGGAGCGACAATCTGTAGGGGAAAGCTAGGAAAGAAAATAGTAACAACACAATAATAGTAAAGTCAAAACAATGAAGATTTCCAACAGAAACACGAAATTAAAGAATGAAGCGTTTGGAATAATATCATGTTCATGATTAAGAGGATAATAATGAATGTGTTGTTTGGTTTAAATGCAAAATACTTTGAAAGATGTAATCTAAAATTTGAAACCATAGAAAGGATATCTAAAACTCTTCGAATGACTCACACCAACAATGAGTGATTTCATAACCCTATGACAAGTCGTGGAATAACCTCTCATACTACGTTTTGCTTGTTCTGTTAACAGCCAGAAATAAACGGAGAAAAAATCTTCTTGAATATATCCTAATTAACATGGTACTTCCACCTAAGGTTCTCTGCTGATCACTCACAATTATCAATTATATTTAATGTCCATTAAGTTCCATAGTTTATGAGGAGTCACAAGTCTCAGACGTTTATTTTTAATACTGTAAATTGTTCGACGAGACTATAGTTTATGGAAGAACCAATCAGATTTAGGATAACAAGTCTTGGATTTGGGCGCGAAATTCACACACCCATTTGTCTAAATAACGTCTCGTCAGTTCGTGATGAAAAACCGTAAATCTAATTTCTAAACCGAGTCATCAACTGTGAATCATATTCCTTATTCTTCAAATTACTTTATAACCCTCATTTTACCCTATTAAGTAGGTAGACACTCTCAGGATCCCTTTGGAGTCGCTCAAAGATCGTCCATAAATTATAGTCTCAGCAATTGTTCTTGCTTTTGCTTAACTTATATGTTGTACGAAAGATAAAGTGTTGAAATACATTTATTTCTCTGTATGTTTATTGTTCACAATGCAACTGGTTAAAATCAGGTTTATATGATATATTATGTCATCAACTTGAATATATGAAAACACGTATTGATAGATGGAAAGAAAAATATTAGATAAAGTTGTGATTAATAATCTGGAATTTCTTCTAATGTAAAAAATAATTTAAAACAGAATACTGGCCAGATAAGTAATCAGACTACTTAAGTTTAGACAAAATATTACTTTTCCCCTCAAATTCACTATGATCTATATATGATGATGGACTTAAGTACATACCTCTTGATCACAATAACAATACACTCAAAACTAAATACTTAACTTGATGAGATGAGTACGTATGCACGGTTAAATTCATACAAATTTTTAGCACCAAAACTAGAGCCTAATTATCAGTTAAACCTAGTGACAGGTCAACAAAATTGTCATATTGCCCATTGAAAAAGTTGCAAGATAGTAGTTACTAGTATCTGCTTAGGCTTAAACTCTAATGTATTCATCTAAAACTAGTTCCACAGTTAAGAAGAGAATCAAGCAGTTATTAGCTTATTACCCTTGGGATATGAGGAATAATCAGTGCATATTTGGGAGTTTTAAATTATTTTTATTCTCATTTACTGCTATTGATTTAAATGTGTCCACAACTTAACACTGAAAACATCTTTCTCATGATTGCCGGTTGTATGTATGCTAACAGATGGATGTCACTTTACATCCAAACATTCACAGCTAACCACACTGATGTCTGAAATCAGTGCTTACCTATCACACCTTATCGCTGGTGGACATATGACTTTAAATAGACTAAAGTTTCACTTTATGCACCCTAATTATGGCACTTCAAATGTTCTGCCAGATTAACATGAAGAAACAAAGGAAGGGAAATTTAGGCGAAGCGAAATTTTATCTTTTGAACTTGACATAATTTTATCGATAAATTGAACTATTTGCATAAATTAATTAGCTGCAGTTTCATTTTTCAACACTGACACCATGGTACAAAATCCCTTCCTCAAAACCCTTTTTGAAATAACGTTGAGAAAAGGACTGCTGTTTTAAAATTTTGTACATACTTTTGTTTGTCTATTTTCCCTCTGCATGCAACTGCTCAAATGTATCTTCGCTAATCACGAATCTGGTCTGGTAATATAATAACACTGCTGTTGTTTGTATCATAAACCGAATACGATCCACTGCATCAAATCAGCAGATAACGATATAACATCAATTCCAAGTACACCAACTTTGGATAATAAACTCATATCAGTCCGACCAACAACACTGCGCATTCCTGAATATTTAACTGGTGAGCAAAATAGTTTTAAATATACTGACTGTATATTTCGTATATTAGTTTGCTGTAAATAATGCAGTGGTTTTCACAAGAATTCGTTTGAAATAATATCGAGTGAGATAGCAACAAGGGGAAATGCTTAAGAATATGTCAATTATTTCGAAACGTTATTAGCTAATCTTTTATTTGCATCAAGATTCATGATTCATAGTAAACAATTAAGGATTTGTTATCATTCAACCACGTAAACAATAATCGCGGTTGCAAAAATAGCTGACAAGAAATCTTATCAACTGTATGAAATTAATCTAAAAATCATAATATCAGATATTCCTTTTAATAAACTGACATCATAATACAAAACAACACTGTGAAAGTTAGCGCTTTTACAATCAAAGTAATATTGTGGCTCGCTCATCTTCTAAAACCCTTTTTTGTAGATGTACTGATTGTGAAATATGTATTTCGGAACTCCTGTAAAATGTTAAACATACATATTTCTCTCTAAAATGTACCATGATTACAGTTTATAAACACAGAAATAGTGTAATTTGAATGTATTAGAATGGAAAAATATATCTACTATAACCAGCGTTATTTGCTACATTTTTTTAACAAATTTTTAATAAGTCAATTGTTTCTATACAATAGATCAACCGAAACCAATACAAACTAACAGTTATTGATATTAAATTATATTTATACTCTGAACAATATTGTTTAATATATAAAGGAGAATATTAGCATATGTTTCTATTTACATTCTGTAATAACATGTCCCTAATAAGGTAGATTTAATAATGGAAAATGTATATCGCACTTTTATTCAAATGGCGATGAAAAAATCAAATACATAAAAGCCATTATACGCCATTGATTGGATTCAGAACACCATCGTGTGTCAAGATAAAAATTACTCAAATAGATCAGACAAAAAACCAATTTAATCAAAAAATGCCAATAAAGTGGACGGAGAGGATACTATTAGAAAAAAAAACATGCCAATTGACTTGAAGCTTTCTTATATGTGGAAATATCCACAAAAGCTTCTTATTGGGACAGTGTGCATTTGAGTTCTTCTACAGCTTTATTTTAAAAAATGGTCCCTTGTAATACCATATAGTTCCTAGCATTTCAGACATGAGAATTAGTTACTACTATGATTATTTTGAATTGGTATCAGGTTTAGTTCAATTAAACTTAAGCAACAACTACTCAGAAGTATAAATTTTACTTACTATTTACACATGACTCATTGTACCTGTTTTTGTTTTTCTAAACGGGAATATCCTTGGGACCTTGGTGTCTATCTAAGAGCGGTGGACATTTTTGACGAAGATCGGATTTGTATACCTGGCGGTTCTTCTTGAATTGTTGTGAATTGAGTCATGGTTTGTAAGGTGATTGAACGAATCCGCTTGATCGTTTCCGTATATTGTATTGTTAGCTTATTAAAGTGGAAACACTGTTCCGTTTGAAGTCGCGATTCTATAAGCACGCTACCATAAGCCAAAATTGACACTGTTCGTTGAAATTATATGAACAATAAGCATATACACAGATTTCAACTAATTTTACGCAAAAACAACCTTTAACTATGTTTGTTACTTGCAGATGTTTTTTCATATCTACCTATTCAATGGTCTCATACAATTTTATCATAGCTGAACGTAATTAACCCATGATTTCTACTAGCTATTTAAATAATACTCATTCTTTACATAGGTTACACAAATTGTTGACGCCTGCAACTATAGTTTTTGAATGTCTGTACAAAAAGGCAGAGACTTCCATTCATTCAATTTAAACTTATCAACGAAGATAAATTCCCACACTCTGTAACTGTGATGCTAATCAAACAATAATAATTGTTTAATTACTTTCCTTCTAATCAATTTTCTGTTGTATCATTTTAAGCCTTAGGAGGTGAAACTCTTTGCTCTGATCTTCATGAAAGCATGACCGAAGAACGTGTGAAGCCAATGCTCAATGGAAAAGTATGAGTTTTTCCAATAATATAACTTGATTTACTGATGCTTAAAAGGCAATACTTAATACTGTATTATTTAGGGCATTGTTTAGCTTTATAGAAAAAACAAGTTCATCGTTACGGTTCGTAGATATGTTTAGCCTTTTAATAACTTGAACAGCAATCGTCCTCATTATACATAAATGACACGAGATCACACTCTGCTTTTAATTACATTTTATGGAATAGTGAATCGATTTCATGTTACTAGTCTGAACTCCTGCGCTCGACTTCGTACCTACTATACATTAAATATCCATCTGTTTCTAAGTCCGTTTTAAAATGAAAACTTTACTTCAATCGTTATCTGACAATAATTGAGCGTAATTTGATAAACGAATAAACCCCATCAGACTAAAACTTGGAATGTCGTCCAATTTACATAAGGGTAATAAGAGTAATTTCCTTGAAGATACAAAACATCGGTTCAGAATAAAAACAGCACTTAAAAGTTATATTTTACTAAGAATTCTAAAATGAACCACAAAGAGAAAGAATAGATAACTCTGTTCTTAAAATTGAATAGGGTAGGTATTTCAAAACACTCATAGTTTCAATATCTGTTATCATTTACTTGCTCTTAACTCTCAGCTACCAATTAAATGACACTGAAGATTTGGTAGAATACTTCTTAATGTAACTTAGTAGTTCGGTATTTGTAGGTACAAATTGATCACATAATTCTGATAATCTTCATCTTTTCATAGCATTGTTCAAATATTGTAGTCTTTCTAACTCTGTCATGCACAACGTTCATTTCAAAATTAAAAAAAACATATAATTACTTCTAAAAAAGAAAATAATAAAACATGAAAACTATTTAGAACATCCAATGTGACTGAATTATATGTTGCGAAACTATTCATGCATTCATTTTGTGTTGTCTCTATATAGGGTGAAACAGCTACAGCTTCACAACAGCCAGTTCAGATGACAATTAATGCATCTTCACCTGCCGCTTTATCAGAATGGGATTTCGATGTAGATAATGTGCATTCGACGAAGAATTTAGTTAAGTCGGGGTATGTTCTTATAAGTTTATCTATAATTTGAAAGGTTTCTTATCTCTTTTATCATCGATGCTCGAGGTGGCCTAGTCGAAGCTCAAAGACGACCTGGTTTACGATTTCTTGTACCACCTAATGCACCATCTGGACCACTTCGTATAATTTGTCGTTTACTCCGCCCAGAAGCAATTGACAATCCACCAATTTTTAATGACGGTGATTGCTTAGCCTGTCGGTAAGTAATTTTACATTTTTTTACTACACAAGTGCGTGATAGTTTGTCTTAAAAAAACCCGAATATTTATTACTTTTCAGTTAGGTCTAAGATTCTGAAAATCTGTCTCCTTGTTATTGATAATCTGCTGAATGACCGATAATCTTCTGATCTAATAATTGAATTCATGAGTCAATAATAAAATACTAAAATCTCCACAAAACCCCCGTCTTATTATAATCTTATAATTCTTCTGAACCATCAGTTACATTTTATTGTTGAAGGATATATTGAAAAGAATATTCTTCATTCACAGTCTTGTATTTCGATATGAAGAGTATATCTAAACACTTATCCATTGAGTTCTAAATACTAGAATCATGTTTGTTTCCAAGTGTAACTTACAAATTCTACTTTAAGTAGTTACTACAATCGTCAAGAACGACAACGAACGTTTCCTAAGCACAGAATGCACCACTGCTAAAAGCATTCACATGAGCTATAAATCTTCTCCACCATTTCCTGAAATACTATCATTCGTGTTCTTGTTTGACATCATAGTAAATTTTAAGAGCTGTCAGTTTTACATTTTCAAATCCAAACACATTCAAAAAGGAATAATATATTTAACTCATAACAAAATGGACATACGTTATTGAATATAGTTACCGTTTTCGTATCTTATCAAATTTCCTTGGTAAGTTTGTTAACTGCAGATCATAAATGTTCAGTGAATTGTAAATGCAGACACGAACACTGTATAAAGTTTAAACTGTTTTAATTATGGTCTGAATTATTAATAGAGTCGAATGCAATGAAATAATAATCCCGTTTAGCTTGAAACCAAATAACCAAGCTCAGAGAACAAACCTACATCCAAATCTAAAATAAACTAGAAATTGTTAGCACAAGCAATAATTAATTAAAAATAAAATTGTAACAACCGTAAACGAAATTTACAGCTCATGTGTAATTACACTAATAAATTGACTTTTCCTTTTAATGGTAATCTGAGGATCAACGCTTTGTTACTTAGTGTGTAACATTTTTTATAGGATTATTGAAATGAATCCAAACCAGATGCGTTTCACTTTACCTATACTTGTTGAGGTGCCTCATATAGCATCTATTAAAGGAAGAGAACGTGAAATTATAATTGTTAGAAGTGAAACGGGAAATTCATGGAAAGAACACACATTAGAAGCAAATGAGCAGGCGATAAATGATTCTTTGGGTGATGCATTCGGTAAGCTTTTTATTTTTCTTTAGTTGGTTAGTTTAATCTATGTATTCCTGTTTTACTGATTTAACTTGTATACCAAGTGGAAGTCATCAACATAAGATAGTCGTCATGTAATTACGTTACCTGTTTTCTCCAGCCGGTTAAAAATTTATTGTAATGTTTTAAAGAAATAAACGTATAAAACTGAGATCCCATAGCAACAACATTACTGTTAGGCCACCAAATCAGGTTCAGCTATCCAATTTCATCGTGTACATTCAGCATTACTTCTCCCAAACACTTAATTTGAATAGAAAATACGGTTTCACCAGTCAATAACTTTGAAGTAGTACATTTTTAGGAGATCTGTAGAGAAAATGCTGTTCATAGTACAAAGTTAGTCTTTACTGAAAATGTGTAGTCAATAGTAAAGTGGAAGATAACTCGAATCTATTATAGTCGTGGTAAAGACTGGAGGGTATGATATGTTTTCGGGAAGGCAGCTCTTTAAACTTTCTGTTTTTGTAATCTCATGGAATTCTGTGTCTTGAAAATCTTAAGTACAACAAGAATAAAAACTGTAACAACATGTTTATCGAGATAATCGGTTCCTGAGATATTCATAAGTTATAACCAGTGTTCATGATTCAGTTTAGAAAAATCGGTACTTAAATAAAATAAGAATGTGTCAGTTACTGATAGTCAAAACAAATACTTCTTTACTTTGTCTCAGCTGTTTTCAATTTATATTAACCATCAATGAAAACAACAATTAATAATGAACTTTAGTATAGGGTATGGCTGAATGTTGTGTATTCAGCGGGAATTAAGATTTTAAGGGTTTAAACTTGTATTTTGAAGTACCGTTATCTCCATTACCCTTAGACTAATCAAAATGTAGTTCCAAACGTCCAATGGACAGACTACTTTTTGTTCAATAAATAGTGATTTCCAACATTACCCTGTTGCCTGAAATTATCGCCACAGTTATGTGATTCTTGACCCCCTATTGATGAAACTTCAAGGGTATGATTATCAATGTCTAGTAATAAGTGATTGGTTAACTTATATTTCGAAATGTGTGCTAATGTATTCAGGAACGTACTGTTTGTTGGCTGTAAATGGCGCACTGTTGCAATCTGTTGAAATCCGTCTAGCACAAACCGTTTTGATTGGATATCGAAATTGGCACATTTTAACTTCTTTTAACCTATTAGAAGGTTTCATTGTCATGAAATTGTAACTTAAGAAAAAAATGACATCAATTATATTGGGGTTGCCATATGATATTTAGATAGAAAGTATGGTCAATTTTCTTATTGATCACGCATCGACCGAACTTAACTTTTTCAGTGATTTAGATTAAAGTGATCATTTAACGTGACGAGAGAAAATTGATAAAAATTACATGTATATAATTGCTTTGTCAGCGTTCAGACTATGCATGTCATTGGAAGTAAACAAGAAAATTTGATAACTAATTATTGGTTATAATGATAAGCTTTTTACTAACAGACAGATTTCTAAAGAGGAGGAATGTATTTGTAAGATCTCAGGGAATGAATTTGAAGTAAATCCAACAATCGAAGCAAATAGTATAGACAATTTTGATTATATTTCCTTGAAAAAGCTTGGATCAGATTGACAGACGAAATGTTAGATTAACTTCAAATTCATTCGCTGAGATTTTACAAATACATTCGTCCTCTTTAATATCTCACATCAACTCGGCACCCAAATACTGTGAAACTATTCAATCAAATTTAGACGAAAGTTCTTATTTAGACAAATTTATAACTACCATAGTGATTATTATACCTAAAATCTAATAAAATCTTGAATGAACAGGAAGAAAATTATTTCCCATTTAATTATTTTACTGAATCATTCTAACATGTCATTCAAGCTGGTAAAAATTCTCATAAGCATATGAACAATTCTTTGCGGTAAGATAATGTAAACGGGATATGTAAATATTCTGAAACTATCTCCAGGCTACTTTTGCAAATAGTAATTTTTAACAATATAAAGATGTTTTGTATCTCTTAAAAAATGGCATCAATAATAGCCCAAAAATATTGTGTTCTCGAGTATCATAGTCTGTAATTAAATAAATAATCCATATCAGAAGGGTTTTGTGGATATTATAGTAATGTCAATGGTTGAGATCATGAGTCAATTGAAGCTAGACGAGCATGGGAAACCTGGAAGCACTGGACGGCCGTTTCGTCCTACTGTGAGACTCCAGGTTTTCCATGGTGGTCTAGCTTCAATTGACTCATGATCTCAATCATTGAAATTAATAATTGTTGCATAATTTTACAATGTTATCAACACTAGAATTATTTTAAATAATAAATTGTCCATGAAGACTCCAATATAGAATGACGTTTTTCTGTGATTAATTAGATATGGCCAGAAACTATTAAACAAAAATAGTTATAAAATGGATGACAACTGGGCATTAAATGATGTTGTAATAGCTCGTGAAAAATAGGTCACAAAATTTTAGAAATTAATATTATTAAGTACAAAACTTAATTTATGCAGAGTATGAAACTAGTTGATACAATTACTTACAATATACGGCTGTAATACTAACAATGCACCAATTGCACTCTCTTCAAAAACACAGAAACCATACATGATTTATAAAACTACAGTTATTTATTTCCTAAATGTGTGTTAATACATAAACATAACAATACTGAAGATACACATATCCTGAAGGCTCCACGGGACCTCTCCAAGTGATTATAAACGGTGGAATATTGTCGATTTCACGTTCTATGTTAACATAACATGGTAATATTGGATTTCTGTTCCATAGACTTAGCTATACTAAACAGTGACTAATAAGGCTATGATGAATTTGCTGGTCATTCTATCTACTCAGTTGTACCCACAAAAACAATCAGACATAGAAGTCGTTTGAAAATTTCTGATCACTAAAATGAAGAGAATCTACAATATACCGATTTTCTAGATATTCATGTTTTTCAAGCTCTATTTTTCCTCCATGGATCCGTGCTCTTAATCAGTCCTAAATTTAAGTATTTCAGTGTTTTGCTGGTGAATGACGTTACTTCAGAACTAATTTAGTTACAGTAAATATTTTCATCCAATGTTAGGCTGGTACCAGTATTCCTGAGAGTATTATTCAGTACAGTTACAAAGACAAACAATAAGACATTGCTAATTAAGGATGGTGAACTATTTCTGACATTAATCTTACTCTACAAGCAAATTTATTTTCATTTTGTTTACATTTTGTTTAAGATGTAGTAAATCTTTAATATATATATATCTTTCTTGATCCCTCTATATTTTGTTCGACACTCAGATCATTTTGACTTGAATACTTCAAGTCTTAACAAACGCATTCATCGAATTTTGACCTATGACCTTCCACAATATTTCGCGTTAATTTCGAGATTTCGTCAAGAGGTTGCTTTCATTGGTTCAGATGGTGGAATTATTAGCTCCACCGTAGCATCACAAGTCCAAGCTGTGTTTCCTCCAGGATCACTTCAAAAAAGAATTAAAGTTGGCTTGCAAGTATGTAATTTACCTAATCTCATTCACTGTATTTGAATATTTGTAAATATTACTTAATATAATAGGATTTTATGATATACACATTTGTCATAAAAGTTTTTAAGACTTGGTACTTATATTTATGTCTTAGGCCCAACTTATTCCTAATGATGTCATCAACCGTTTAACGGATGGTCGTGTTTCTGTATCTCCTGTCGTAAGCATTGAGCCAAGACGACGCAAATTTCATAAGCCCATCACACTTACGATACCGGTTCCACGTCATTCAGCCAAAACTATTCCAGATACAACAAACAGCTCACCAAAAATTCGCCTTCTATGTAGTCTATCTGGTGGAATAAATCCAGCCGTATGGGAAGATATAACTGGTTCAACACCTATGACACATCATAAAGATTGTGTTTCATTTACTACAACTGTTTCTGCTAGGTAAGTTCATTTTCTATTTCATCATAGAAATAAATAACAAGTGAACTGATATGAATTTACTGAAATTTTAGATAACCATTTCTTTTACTGTACTCTTGAATCCTTACATTTTGTGAAAGAAGGAAGATTTCATTTCATAGGTCGATGAAGCATAAGTGAGGCCTGAAATAAAATGAAATAATGAAATTTAGTTTTCTTTTTGAACCATGGATAAAACATGAATCCTGGTAAACTATCACATCCTTTTCATTAGGTAGGACTTAATGTTTACTCAAATTTATCAAGCATTTACAGAATATTAATTCAGAATGTTATACGGATTCATTAAGTTAATTTTTAAATTCTAAAGATACAACTCAATTAGTGAATAATAAAAGCAATAGAACTTGGATGTTATTATGAAAGAAGTACTGTTGTGAACATTGTTATATAAATGAGTCATTATTCATAAACACGCTTTTCATTTCAAAAAACTATATTCGAAATAATTGAAGGGAAAAGAAGAAAGATAAATTTATGCAGATATGATACGGTATTCAATGGTTGTCTGACTAAGATTAATCCATGATGTAAACTGCATAAGTTGTAAAAATAACTAGAATGTAATATGGGAAATAATGTAGCGGGTAGAGTAATTATTATAAAATGATATCAAAGTTGGTTACACCTCATGAAATGTGAAAATATAGAATTTCTATAAAGTAATTTGGTATAAATAGATTTTTCGTTTTTACTGATTGTATAAATCAAAATCGTTAAAGCTGATTGAGAGCACAATTCATAATTTGAAATGAGAAGTCATCACTATCAAACTACCCCCTTCTATAAGTAACGTAGATCACAAACGTAAAACTAAAATTTTGGTCGTTTAACAGACTGATGGAAAACGGTAAAAAAAAATGTACTGCTTGGTGCAAATATGATAACCATCTTCTCATTGGCAATAAAATAACAGCTGTAGACCTCAAAAGAAATCAGTAAATAACGTTTAACCTAAATGACAATGTTGATTCTACTTGAGTTATGTATAACCGACTGTTCACTGAGTAGTAATAATGTCATGCCCATCTAGTCGTTTGGTACTGATCATATTTTGTCGATCAAACTCCAGTGTCACCGCCAGTCTAAGTGATTCAACATCACGACGTCTTTAATCTGAATGTAGATTTATCTGAAAAATGAGTTACAACAGGAAATATCTCTTTTAAAGCTCTTTAAAGCCATAATAACATCACAGTACTCGAAAGGTTATAATTGTAACTTATTGTCCCCTTCATTTTCACGATGTTTGTTGTGTTTGCTATTAAAAAATCAAATTAGTATAAGGGATTTGTGATGGTAAAAATTTTGCAGTTTAACTCATATTTGCTGGACTAGAGAAAATGTAATCATTCTGCAGTAATTTCCATTTCATTTTGTTTTCCCTAATAATACAGTACATTGATGATCTCTTCAAAAACAAATACCATCTTTGTTTCTTAATATTTGTATACCTGCACCTCGTTATATTTGAATATAGATTGTGGTTGATGGATTGCCCACCTGATATTCCGGTTACAGAGCTAGCAACTCGCATTTACAATGAAAGCATTGAACCACCGATTTTGGGGAGATTTGTTATTTATGCTCGTCAGTCGACTGATCTGGAAACAGAAGTTGAACTAAAAACGCCAGATAAACTACCAAGACAACTTGCTCATGCTCAAGATATGAAGAGAAGTATTTCACGCACGAAAAAGTTTACAACCGAATTCGCTCAAATTAGGTGCATTTGTCTGACAGACGGCAACAATGACAAAACTCTGGAGTGCTTAGAACATTACTGTCAAGTTGCGATCGGTCCATTTGTAGAGGTAAATAACTAACTTGATGCTAAAATTCCTCTGTTCTTCTTATAAGAATATATATTTGGAAAACATGTACATGCTTATTTGAAAATACCTATTTATATGAATAACAATAGTCTTCAGGAAACCGAATATATGAGTCCCGTTTTTTGTTCATCGATTTCATAGGGTCACTTCTACAACGAAGAGTACAACCGTTCAAGTCAAGCTCCTTGATCAACACTTACCCGGTAGTTAATGACCTTGATTCATGCCCATCTATTGTTGATCCTGAAATAAATAACGTTTGTTACTTAACATATACGTTTCATTTATTATCTCAGTAATTATACCCTCCAAAATAGAAGCGCTTCAAATGTCCGTCTTCATAAATATTAATTCTAATATTTAAACTTATTCAGTTATCATCAAAATACATCATTTACCATTAGAAAGTAATTTAAAATCTCTACTGTTCAGTGCCCTTTGATTCGTGTATACTGCACAGCCGTTAATTTGTTGACGTTTACTATTTCTGTAACATTAAATAAGAAACATACTTTTGTGATATCTCAAAGTGTAGAAAATTGTATTTCTTAAGTTTTGTGACTTAATTTAAATCGCTTTTTCAGAGTAAGTAAATAACCTAAATAAAATTTACACAAGTTTGAATAGTAAAAAACAAACAATTCGATCGTACTGTAAACATCGAATGCCTGAATCATCTATACAACAGTTTAAACAAAGCATTCTTCCTTATTTGCATTGTTAAATAGAACGTGCTCAGGCTAGCAAATGAAAGCTATGCATGCTATTTCCAAAACTGCTCGCTTGATAGCTAGAATATCAAAGCGATTTATCAAAAATTATTTTCCAAAGTATTTACAGAACTATTTTCAATATGTTTTCAAGATTAAGCAATGACTTGTTTTAAAATTGACTTATTTTCCAAATTACCGTATTTAGTCTGTTTACGCATTCCTCAAAACTACCAAAATAGGCAAATGTTTCTTTTGGTTGCATAAAGCAAATCAATTCACTGCGCGTAAACTTCTTTAACCAATAAATGTAAACTTATTGTAAATACTCATATGAAATAGTTCACCTTGAAAAAGATGCTGACAAAATGCCGAGTTTTGTAAATACCCTAAGTAACAATTCAAGCACGTCTGGGATGTCGTTCGTTCCCTCCAAATGCAAAAGACTGCCTAAGCATTGGCTTGCATCAGCGCCTGAATTGACGGTAGGAAGTGAAGTAGTTGGACACATAGATTGCTTTAATTATCTTGGGAGCCTCGTCAGTCCTTATAATCTGGTATCTGACGAAATTAATGCACCGGTCTAGAACGCTCGACTGGCTTTTGTCAGCTTGTGTCGCTGGTGGCGTAGGTGAGATATCCGTCTGCCAACCAAATAACGAGTTTACTGTGCAGCAGTTTGCTCTGTTCTACTTTAAGGATGTGAAACATGGCCACTAAGAATGGAGTATACTCGTAGATTACTAGTGTTCGACCACAGGTGTTTCTGAAGCATTTCTCGTGTGTAGTGAGACCACTGAGTAATTATTGTATAGGAATAGAGTAGTAAATCTCCATCAGCTGAGGTGGTTGAGACAAATGTTACGTATGCCGAACCACCGCCTACCTTGACTTTCACTGCTGTACATGTAGACTGGAAGAAATTTAGAAGCAGCCAAACCAAGACGTGGTATCAGTCCATAAAGCCATCGGCGATCGAACTTAGACATGTTAAAGGGTACGGACTACTTGGTTGTGGTCCGTTGTGATTGTCGTAGCCAATGTTTAGAGACTTTAAGTCGAACTGCTCAAAATAATGTGAAATGGCACAGGTACATACATTCTTTGTCTTCCCTCGAATCCTGGGTTTATGAATCCTCCATAACAGTTTTCATTTTTGTCTCACTAATTTATACTTTTCTGAATCGCATGTTCGATGCCTAATTTTTTCCATTATCACTCACGCTGTTACTAACTCTATTATTCTGGGATTTAGCCTGACAATTTCGTCTCTCAGTGTTGATGGAGTTTAGCAACCCGAACCGATATACATACGTACCAGGTTCTAAGTTGTAACTAACTGACTGACTAGCGTGAATATTCTATTCAAGTATTTTTAACTATACTTGTATTGATCATAAACAGTACAACATAAAAGGCCAAACTGGACAGTCAAATATGTAGTTAAAAAAGTTTATCTTTCCTAATTACCACACATCCTAAGGATAGCAAACACAAGAAAAAAGGGAGGATACAAAGGTTTAAAATCATTAGATGTTCGTTATTCTTGACAAATGCTTTATATGGGTGCACTCGAACCAACAGGATCGACATCATGTCATAATAGAAAAGATCTGTGACTAACAGCTTTTATTTTAATGGTTACAGTTGTTTGACGAGAGTCGGGCAAACAGCTATTGACTTTATAGTGTTTCTTCATCTTATTATTTTAATTATTCTGATGCCCTAAACTCCTTTAAACTTAACTTGAACCTTTAAATGACAAACATATGTTATGTTAATCTGTTAATTTACCACATGATATGATTGGCAATCAGAATACAACTTATACAATCTCAGCACTGTGCCAAACCGATGACTGGTATGACCAGCCTAGCGTCCTTAATGGTTCTTTTCCCTACACCGCCTTGCCTGTTGAGTTGGGGACACCACTATATGGATCATTTATTTCAGACATACTTTGTTTGTATACAAGCAAATGAGACCACATCATACCATAAAATAAAAAAATAACATTTGTACAAGATCAAGCCAAAAAGTAGCTGTGAATATGAGAGACTGTAATTAATAGACTGAGTATAACTTAAGAATAGTAAATCGTATAATAATAGTTTATATGTCAAAATAAAGCTTATAATAAGTGAAATGTAAATATGCATAATCTGGTTATTCATGAGTTATACGATAGGAATATATATAATATTAGTCAATTAATAGCTCTCAGAAGTTACCCATAATTTCGTCTTCGCTAGGATATAACACAATCAGTGTCGGTCCACATTACCACTAACTTTTATCCATGGTTTAAAAGATATCCAGTACGAAAGGTGACATTTTGTGACCCCGTTATCCATGAGGATTTCAAGAAAATAAGTGACCAAATAACCCTACGTGTGAGGTCGTCAATGGGCATCGAGGAGTTCCATACTAAGACGAAACGTCTGTCCAGTGCTTCCAGGTTTCAATTGTCGTCTAACATTGATCGGTTCATGATTTCAATGAAAGCCAACAATGTCTACACACCTATACTGAAAAAACATATCGTCAGCTTTGAGCTTTTTAATTCTAATTTTTTTTTCATTCGGTACTACACATGGGTTCCTTCTGGCATATCAAAAACTGTCCTGTCATACTAACATGTCTTTGTAACTCTATCAAAATATTGAGAAATTATTTACAATAATGCCTTGCCTTTTATTTTAGATTCAACAAAATAAGCCTATCTGGATTGAAATGGTTGGAAATCTGGTACCAGTGTTAAGATCTGATGAACAGTTGAACTTTACCATTCGACCATTCCATGATAATAGAATTACATTCCCAGTTCGATTGCGAGACGTACTGGATCATGAACCAGATTCAAGTACAGTTACTGGAAAAATTGCATTTGTACGTGAACCACGCAAAGCTCAAACAACTTTGGATATGACTAGCGCACAACAGCAACGTCTAATCACTCTATTAGAATTCAAGCTACCAATTCCAGATAAAACTTTTGTGATATCTACAAGAGGTAATGTTGAAAAGATGAATAAAAGTCAAATTATAGTGCTCTGTTTGCGTACAACGTCTACTGACATTTTACTATTATCACGTTTGAAGGATATTTTAAGTGTGAATAGTGATAGACACTGTAACCTGTATGTTTCATGGCACCACTGTTTAAGACCTTTGGAGAGAAGCAGAAAAGACATTACTTTCCCAGTGGTTTTACGTTCCTTCGGCTGGATAATTTAGTTAGGAAACCTCCATTATTTCAGACAACAGTGACAGTTTCTAAGAGAACTAGGATTCTAAATTCATAGCTTCACTTACATCGCTGGGTCGAAAAATTGAAAGCTTGTAGAGGTATTCTGTTAGAATATAAGATTTAGCTGGAGAAAAATTACTTAATTTTATATTAATACATTTGAAAAACCTAAATGCATGTTTGAATTCATAATTTAAAATAAACGTTAGAACCACTAATTTCTAATCATTAGGATATCCCATACACATCATTATTGTATTACTAAATATGTATTATTTAGCCAACTGTATTTTTTACAATTAATACTCATTGAAAGACTTAGAAAAACGAATGGTTTTTTAATTTAGTGAAAAGGAAACCCAACAGGTTTGCAGCAGACAAGTCGAATTTAACTAACCCATTACAAAATAGGTGAAAGCAAAGTGTAGATATTTTCATTACAAACAATATACATTGTACCAATCTTCAAAACATACTAAATCAAAAAGTATTGTTGTCTTGAAAAACAAGTATAAATAATGTAGAACCAGATATTATCAGACGTTTTGATCTTTATTCTCCACCAGGCACTTGAAATCGGCGGAGATTGTAAACGATTAGCGCATCATCTTGGTTTCTCTGAGCAGGATAATAAAACGATAGATAGAATTCCACTGAACGGTATAGCATCCAGTCGACATGGGAATAAAAATCAGTGAGTGGAAAATATGATTACTTTATGGTAATACAGAGCAACGTTATCAGGTTTGACAAAGATGCTTTAGGTAGGTGATCTATGGAATCGTTCTGTGGACTAAATGATCCTATAAAAGCACAACATAGACCATCGAAATAGACCACTACTAGCTAGATTCTAACCTAGCAGATAAGTTCAAAAACTAGCCTATCACTTTTCATCAAACAAAGAGTATTTTTCTCAATAAATTCTATTCAAGTTACATAGTTATACATATATCCAAATCAGTCAAACAAAAAATAACCGATTTTAAAGCAAATACATCTTTTGAAACTATGACATGTGAATTTAGGATCGTTTGGAAATGAAAATAAACTGATTAAGGCTGAAATGACTAACATGTAATGTTGACTAGAATCAGTATATGAGTCAGTTGGATTTGTGAGATTATTAGTTAGAATAAATATAGACAACAAGAAGTGAGAGAAATAATAATGTGGGTATAAATTGCATCAGATGTTTAATGGAAGATAACTTAGTGCATGAAATGGTAGGAATTAAGTAGAAAACAATAAAATGGAGTTAATCCTAATTAGTTTCTTCATGTGCTTACAAGACTAATAATAATGATGGACATAATAATAATAATTACAGTAACGATATTCGAATAACAGGAATTTGAAATATGAATATACAAAAGGGGAAGACCGTATGTATATTGGTGAAACTGAGACGACCACTGGCCTATTGGGCCTGAGATGGGTCAAGTTAAAAGAAGAGACTGAATAAATTTGTTTTGCACACGAAGCTTCGGTCTTTCAATCTGAATAACTAGTGCTTCCACCATCCTAATAAATTTGTTTGACGTTTTTGGCATACAATTGCCAATACGATAAACTGCCAAAATGATTGATTTATGTTGACATTATGACCCATTTAAACTAAATGATACATTATTGAGCTATTCATTGTATTGATAACGCTTTTGCTTAGCCAATGTGGAAAGTGTTTACGATCCCGAAACTGTAAGTTCCTAGAAATCCAGCCGACGTAACTTGTTCCACATGCTCACTTGAACTGAAAACGAAGGTGGCTAATCAAGATAATTAGTCTTTTACTCTCGGAGTCAGCATTGTACATTACCCGTAGCTTTCCTGCATCGAACTTCCTTTGAACTGTTGTGATAAGTCTCCTGAACATAATTTCACTGTGTGCAACGCCTCTGAATTTCAAGCACATAGATAACGATCCCACTCCCATAGTTTCGGTATTTATCACTTCTGTGACCATATATTTGTTCATGCACATTCCATCATATCCACTTCCTCTAAAAATATTGCACAAGGCTTTCAGCTCCTCTTCAGCCTTATCAGTTGAGCGTATGGTCATTGAGTTTCTTTTGTACTTCAGTAGTAGGAAGTTAGGTAAACGTGTACATTGTTGTGTCCAAGTACTTTTATCACTTAGATCTATCAGCTTTTTTTGTCAGTAGGATATCCAAAATGCTATTCTGCCTTCACTTGCCTCTCCGTTTGTAAGCTTAGTTGCATGATGCACTTATTAGTTTGCCTTGAAACCTCTAGTTGTTCTATAATGTTTTTATAAAGGATGAACGTATCCTTCATATATCCACAATAAAATCTGAAAAACTTGTCTTGTGTTAAGATGACAGTCGTATGTTGTACGTATACCTAATGAGAGCAAAATTCATTAACTATGTATTGCCTCCACTGAGGGATTGTTGATAAAATCAGATAATTTGATTAATGACATGAATCGAACATGTTGCATCATTTATAAAATGAAGATAAGTAAACAAATAAATCTGTTGCATTATTGTGTTGACCAAGCTGATTGTTCATCGTATATTTAGACAAACCAGCTGTTTACAACAAGTGAAAGTGATTGTTGTTGTTCGCATAATAAGAAATGGATTGAACAAAGTGCGATAAGAAGTTCAGGTTTACTTAATAACTATTAGTTGCCATGGGAAGGCTAATCGTACTCCATCTCCCTTATTAATATTGTTTGTGTATGGCTTCAGCTGTTAATCTCTCTTTGTCTGAACTAAAACCTTTTCGGTAGATTCTTGTGCCATTGAAATTGGTTGTATGACTAGACTCTATTGAATCTAATTCTATCGTTGACTTGTTTTCTAGTTTTTGTTCGGGTAAGACATTACGGTAGCTGAATGTCAGGGTAAACGCACACCAATTTGCTTGAAGCACATTCCTAAATCAGATTTCAGAAAACGATCTTAATTTTTAGCCGAGAATTTAGGAAGTAGCACGAACTGTTGGTGACTTAATAATTTAATTAGCAGATAATTTCATACATGACTTCTAGTGCCTAGAATAATGATGGCTTGTTACCATTCTGACCGTTCAAAGTAAGAGCTCAGTGAAACCATGTTCTTAGTGATGTACTAGACAAGATACCTTTGTGGTGTACAGGTGCACAAATTTACATGTTTAGTCTCTAGAATTTCATCTTCTAAAAACTGTATTTTGCTTATCGGGACATCTGAACAAAAAATATGGAAGCTATAAGTTGAAGTTTAGAAAACTGGAGACCGGTTTGTTTAAAAATTCCTTTATTTATGGATCAGAAATCCTGTTATGAAATTCTAAAGTTAATAATAAGTTTAGAAACGTCATATACGCTGAATTTCATTACTTTTTATTTGAAGATCCCTGACATATCTGCGTTCTTAGTGGTTAGCGAGTAGCCCGAAATTTCCAAAGCTATAATTCATAAACAATTGTGAAGCTTTGTATTTCATTTCAGCCGAACGAACTCTTGTCTACTGATTCCGCCAGTGTTCATAATGGTGATAGTTTTTTTCAGGTACACATAAAACTCGTGAGTTTCTGATTCGGTACTTAATATTACTAGTTACTACAAAAAGGTCAAAATAACGAAACATCATTGGTAACGTAAAATGCAAACAGCCCAGGGCTTCTGGCAGATAATTTGTCGTTGACCAGAGAAACCTCATTACTGTATTTTATTTCTTATAACTGTTCAATGTGTATCGCGTTATGGTGTACGAAACTAAGAAATGGTCAGCCATTAGGTCTTTTAGCTTGATCAATTGATCAACGAGTTTGGTAACTGACCTTATAGTTACCGTGATTAGATATCATCTTCAGTTCCCACGTTTCTAACAAAATAAAGTGCTTTAAGCCAGTCATCTTAGCTGCTCAAAACAATGATTATTCAGATTTACACATTATCAATTTCAGTCACATTTTTATGGGTATAGGAAAGCCTCTCTTGTCACCTTCACATAAATGTTGGCGACAACATTCAGTAACTGAAACAATACTGAAACATAATTAGCATCTGCCTTATGAAGTCAGTTCTTAGAAAATTATTATGATATCTAAAATCGCCTTTTTGGGATTGATTTCAAGATGTTTGCTTAATTTCATTTTCGCTCATCAACACGGTTAATTTCTGCTTTGAGGAATAAATTTAGTTTACTATTATGACATCTTTGTTTTTTATTTTTGACATTATCATACACTTAGATAATCGTCTGGCTGACGCGCTCACTAAAATAAATCAGTTTGACGCTATTCCTCCAGTCATGACTGACTTACACCCAGTAATGACAAAAGAAGAAAGAATAACTGAAACTGACATCTTCGAGAGACGACCTATCCTGCCGTTGGTTGCTAAAGAAATTTTACCACAAGTAACATTAAACGAAGTACTGACATATCCGAGACGTGAAGCAATAGATAGTTCTTTAGGTTAGATGCTTTTTGAAATTTTTTTAAAGACCATTGTTATTACTTTTAATTTCATAGTTCTAGGTCTTATGATAAAGCGTTCGAAGCTGCATTCTATCATTAATACACTAATACGTAAAACGAAAACTCAATTCGGAAAAAAATCTTTGAATGTTACTAAAACTGTGACACTGTTACATACGTCTGAATTAACTTTATTGCAACTATTTGATACTAGTTACAAACTAATTCATTAACGTGCTGGCTAAAATTACCCTAAAAGCAACCAAAAAGAAAATAATGATTTACTTGGTTTTAGAATGATTATTTTCACTAGTAAAAAAATCACATTTAATGTGTTTTTAAACATCACTGTAGTGTTTTTACAAAGTACCCAACGAAAAAAAATTCGTTCTCTTTTTTATCAATATTAATATTTAATAACTAAGCAAGTTATAAAGTATAGCGAAAAATGACAAATGTGTGTAGATTAAAGTAAAATTGTTGACACTGTTGCTTGACTACTTGCTGTTTGTACGGATTTTCATTTTTTTAAAGAAAGAATTAGTTAATATAGCCTCATGTATTTTATGGAAAAATTATCTAATATTCCTTGTAGCGTTGTCGTTGGTAATCGGATAATTTTATTTTTTCTTAATCAGTATAATTAGGTTCAAAAGGGTTTGTAAAGATTTCATAATTCATAGTCGGCTTGTATGTGTTTTTTTAAAAATTATATGTAAAGGATTTTGTCGAGATTTTAGAAATTTCAATAGTCGATTGAAGCTAGACCACCATGGAAAACGTGGAAGCAATTTAGTGGATTGGTTGAAGTTAAACATTAACACCGTTGGACGCCGGCTCAGTTGTCTAATGGTCATTCGCTCAAGCGCGATACTGTTAAATCATGGGTTCGAATCTTCCGGGGTGCGATATCGTGGATGCGCACTACTGAGGAGTCCCATACTAGGACAAAACGGCCGTCCAATACTTCCAGGTTTTCCATGGTGGTCTAGCTTCAATTGACTCAAGATTTCAACTATTTAAATTATAAGTGATTATACGAATATGCCATTACTTACCACAATGCCCTCACTCATAGTAAGGCTTACCTATCGCTTTTCAGTATGGTCAAATTAGTTAGAAATAAGCTTTAAACATGTAGGACGGTCTCAGACTTTCAAAGTTGGAGTAATAAGATTATACAAAATGAAATAATTTCAAATGCACATTACCCTTCATGGAGGGGCACAGGCCATTCACCAGCATTCTCCATCCAACTCTGTCCTGGCCCAACCTTTCCGGTTGTTTCCAGTTGCTATTGATCCTTTCCATGTCTGCTTCCAATTCCCGACTGAGTGTGTTCTTCAGCCTTCCTATTTTCCGTCCCCCTTCACGATTCCAAATTAACGCTTGCCTCGTGATGCAGTTTGATGATTTCCACAATGTATATCCTGTCCACGTCCAACGTCTTTCCCTTATCTCCTCACCAGCTGGAAGTGGGTTTGTTCTCTCCCATAATAGGCTGTTGCCGATGGTATCCAGCCAACAGACATTTAGCATCTTAAGTAGACAATTGTTTATAAATACTTGCACCCTTTGGATGATGGTTGTGATAGTTCTCCCATTTTCAGCTCCGTACAGTAGAACTGTCTTGTCGTTCGTATTGAGGATTGTGACTTTGATATTGGTTTACAGTTGTTTTGAGTCTTATATGTTCTTGAACTGTAAGGATGCGGCTCCTGCTTTGCTAATCTGTGCGTTTACGTCTGCGTCAGATCCTCCTCGTTCATAGATGATGCTTCCCGGATAGATAAGTGAATGTTTCCACCTCTTCGAGAGTTTCTCCATCAAGTGTGATTGGGTTTGTGTTCTCCGTGTTGTATTTGAGGACCTTGTTTTTCCTCTTGTGTATGATGAATCCT